AGAGAGAGAGAGAGAGAGAGAGAGAGAGAGAGAGAGAAAGAATCACCCAGATAGAGTAAGAAAGAAACAGAGATGAAGGCATTGACAGAGAGACATGAGGAAGGAGCAGAAAAGAGAGAGACAGACAGTCAGACACAGATACACAGCACACAAACACACATAGGCAGGGATGCCAAAAAGAGACAAAGGCAGATACGCAAAGGAGTCAGAAAGAGAAAAGCAAGACCTAGAGAAAGGAGAGAAGTTGGCACAGAACTAGGCAGTGATCGGAAAACACACACACACACACACACACACACACACACACAAAACTGGACACACAGATGTGAAGGAAAGACGGGCATGAGCTCACGGGTCAGGGGTGCAGAAAGAGCCAAGGGGGTCAGACAGTCTTGCTCTCCAGCGGGCATCTTTGGGTGGGAGGGCTCAACAGGCATCTTGGTTGGAAGCCTCCTGTTGGTGGCTGCTGTCCTTGGTACTGCCCTGGAGAGGAGGGCTGAGAAGGTGGTTTAGGGGAAAGTGTAGTTAGCTTGGGAGTTGTGGGCAGTTGAAGAGAGGCAGGGGTGAGGCTGTCCTCGTTGGAAGAAATGGTCAAGGTGACCTTGTCATCTCCCTCTCCCTCTTCCTGGTCTGAAGTGTGTTTGGTTGGAGGTGGACTTTAGGTTTTGTTTGCTCTGATGTGTGAACAATGGCCCCAGAGTTAGCTTCTTTTCTGACTCCCCCAAAGCTTGAAATTTGGATAGGGCCGAAGCCTCTCTTGTCTGCTTCTGTCCCTTACCCCCTTCCTCATGTGGGTGTGCCCTCTCTAGCTCCCTGATTTTGATGTCCCCTGTGAAAGGTAGGGGATTGCTCCAGGGCCCCTCCTTTGTTACCTCCATATTTCTCCCTTAATGGTGATGTCTGGGGCTCCTGTGAGAGTCTAATAGATTCAAGACCTGGAAATCGGAGGGCTGCAGTGCCTCCTGCTCCCCTCTGCAGCAAGGCTGGCGCAGTGGGTTGGAGGAGGGGCTGGGGAGGCTGCTCAGGTCCGTGGGGCTTTCCCTCTGGTGTTGCCAAGCAGCCTCCTTAGCTTGTTAGGGATTCCCCGCTCCTGTATGGAGCCCTCTTGTTTAGTGCTGTAACACCAGGCTGAGCTGGGGGTGGGGCAGAGGAGGAGGCGGGCTCTGCCTTCGCCCACCAGGCTCCAGCGGGAAGCACCTTGCTTCAGAAAGAATGCCGAATGTTCATGTTCCTAAGGACTATAGCTGGGCAGGGCTCCCAGGGCTGAAAGCCCTTCGTCCCCTGTGTCTATAGCTCCCAATGCTTCTTTGAAGGGCAGGGGATACCCGGGGAAGGCAGGCCAGGCATGATCGTGATGGCTGCTTTTTGGGTCTGGGATGGGAAGTTCTGCTTGCAAGGCTAGAGAAATTGGGATGCCCCCTCCTTTCTTCTCTTCCAAAGCTATACAGGAAAAGCTTGACTGTCCTCAGGGCAGAGGGGCGTGTGCATAAGAGGTGGGTGTCCAGGGTGCATTAGGGACCCTTGGGGAGGGAAGAGGCAGATCCAGGAGTGGGGAGGGAGGGTTGGATATCAGCATAAACTGTGGGAGCAGGCTCTTTTTCCCAATTCTTCATGTGTCACCTTGACTGTCCTTGTTAGGTGCCCACGGCCTGCGAGAGGAACCCGAGTTTGTGACTGCTCGAGCCGGTGAGGGTGTTGTCCTGAGATGCGACGTAATCCATCCAGTGACGGGACAGCCCCCGCCCTATGTTGTAGAGTGGTTCAAGTTTGGGGTCCCCATCCCTATCTTCATCAAGTTTGGCTACTATCCCCCACACGTGGACCCTGAGTATGCAGGTAAGGTGTGAGTGATGAGGGCCATGCCCCCTCTCCATCACCCTGTGGGTTTTGGCTGTGTTGCATCTTTCTTTTCAGGACTCAGTGGTAACCACAAAGTCCCAGGTACTCTTCATTTTTATCCCTGTCACCTCTGGTCTTCTTCTTGACTGGTCCTAGTATCTCTATTCTCATGGTCTTTGCCCTTTGCCTTCTCTCTCTGCCCTCTGGTGGGTTTTCATCATAAGTGGGAGAGGAAGTAGGAGTTGAGGCAGACAGGAAACATGTCTGTTCAGCCTGGGGATGTGATGAGGCCAGGAGTGCAGGGCAGGTTAGAGAAAAGGAAGCAAGAAGTAGAGGGAAGAAGGGAGTCAGACAGCTCCACCCCCTCCCCAGGTATGGTGTAAGCAAGGCTGCAGGATCTGCTGTGTATGCCCCCACTGTCCTGGCTCTGAAGTTGGGTGTCCTATGCCGAGCCTGGTAGGCACCTCCACTGTTTGCTGTCTGTGGCCCTGGCAGACACCCGATCTCACTTCCTCTGCCACCACCCCCCTTCCTTGGCCCCATTTGTGTGCCGCTCTGTAATTATTCTGCCAGCGTGGTCTCCCTGTGACTCACGGCTGCCGCCCGCCAGCCTACCAGGGAAGAGGGTGCAGGCAGGGTGTGTGCATGTGTGTCTGTGAGTGTGAATGTGTGCTGGAACTGAAGGAAGCGAGGAGACAGGCAGGACCCTGCCTTTGCCTTTCTCTTTCCTGTGGCTTCTGAGGTCTGGAATGCATTCTCTGAGAATGCATCAATTCTTTTCCTTTCCCTCATCCCCTCCCTGCCTCTCTCCTTTCTCTCTCCCTCTCTCTTCCCCTCCTTCCCTCCCTTCTTTCCTCTCTTCCTCCCTCCCTCTCTCTCACCTCCTTCCCTTCCCCTCCCTCCCTCCTTTCCTCTCTCTCCCTCCTTCTCACCTTCTGCCCTCCCTCCCTTCTTCCCTCCCTCCCACCTTCTCCCACTTTCTCCCCTCTTTTCTTTCTTCCCTCCCTCCTTTTCTCCCTCCCTCCCTCCCTCCTTCCCTCCCTTCTTCCCTCCCTCTCTCCTACTTTCTACCCTCCTTTCCTTCCTCCCTCCTTCCTTCCCTTCCTACATTTCTTCCTTTGCTGCTGGCAATGAAACTCAAAGCCCTGCACTTTCCATGCAAGCAACGGTACCTTTGAACTCTGCCCAGGTCTCTGTAAGTCAGGGTCTCACTAAGTTGCCCATTCTGGCTTTTAGCTCACAATCCTCCTGCTTTAGCCTCTTGAGTCAAATTACAGGCCTGTATCACTGTGCCAGGCACTTTGCTGTTTGGCTTTCTTCTGAGCCTATGTTCCCTGCCCTCCTTCTGACCAGGATTAACTTTGAGAGTCTTTTTAGGCAGAATGGCATCAGAGATCCTGCAAGGAAGGTTTGACTCTGAGTCAGAGAGACAAGCAGAGGAAGCAGTGATTTTGGTTTGGATGAATGTGGGCTGGAGTGAAAGGTGGGGTAAGAGGGGCCCCTGGGTTTCTTTGTCCACTGTAGTTTGGGTAGGGACTCTGCTATGCACTATGTGTCACAGAGGTGGCTAAGGAAGAACTGTCAACCCTTGCTTTGCCTGCCCCTTCTAGTCTTAGTGGGGGACATGTATCATCTTGGTACTGGTAGCAGGAGTAGGAGTGACCCAAACATCTGGCCCTGGTTTGCCTCCCTTCTACCTCTTCAGGGAAGCCAGGCAGAATGAAGCTGGGTCGGATAAGTCCCGAGCACCTACCTGGGACAAAGATATTGTGGTTCCTGCTGGGCAATCCCAGTCTTTCCTTTTTTTCTATATCTTTTTCTTTTCATCTCTGCATACATCAAGCCTTTCTTTTGTCCCAGGTTTCCAAAAGAACGGGTACATTTTTAAGGAGCAGAGACTGTGGTCAGTGCCACACCCAGCAAGCTGCCTTTGTAGGCGGATGCAGGGTCATTGCGGGAGGGACAGTAGCTGACGCAGAGTCATTGAGGGAGGGATAGTGGCTCACAGTCAGGGCAGTTTGCTTTTGCTTTCGTCACCTGTTGTCTATGGTGGCTGCCGACTGCCATCTTGGTACACTGCCATGGGAAGTGGTCTGAAGGCTATGAAGGTCCCTTTGCCTTTTGTGGGGGGAACGGGAGAGCTGATGGCTCAGCCTGATGGCACACTGGGCTTTCTTCTCTATGTCCCCCCAGGCCGGGCCAGTCTTCACGACAAAGCATCTCTGCGGCTGGAGCAGGTACGCTCGGAGGACCAGGGCTGGTACGAATGCAAAGTCCTCATGCTGGACCAGCAGTATGACACATTCCACAACGGCAGCTGGGTCCACCTCACCATTAATGGTGCGTATATATATTTCTTGGGACTGACCAAGGAAGATGGCCTCTGGGACCTACTCTGGAGGAAATGCCTCTACTAAGAGGAGCCTTAATAAGCCCTGACCCCTCAAGATCTTGGTTCATGTCTTCTTTACACCCCTCAGATATGTTCCTGGAATTCATGGGTCAGTAGCATGCCTGGAAGCAGCAGGTACCGTATGTGCAGGCTGCTATCAGAGTTCCTCCAGGAAGGCTTGAATCTGCTTCTGGACACCATGGGGTTTGAATCCATCAGTGTTGGTGTCATTTCTCAGCCGCGGGTGACTCTGCTAGCCCAGGGAATGCCTTTTCTCAGGTGGGGTTCCCTGAGTCTCAGCGTGGCTCTTCAGTCCTTGCTAAGTGCATTTATTTGGATACTAAGTATCAAGGGTCTATTATGTTCCTAGCCTTGCGTCAGGTGACCGGGTAAATGATGCTGAGTAAACCCAGACCCATTTCCTGCTTGAACAGGGTTTACCAGCTAATAAAATGTGAGAATCCCGGGAAGAACTGTTTTAATGCCTGTCAGTTATTTATAGCTCATGTTAAATGGATTGTGCTGTGCACAGAGGCTTTTCAAGTGCCTGACTGGGGCAAGGAGGCCTGGGTGAGCTTGCCGAGCACCGGGGTTGGTCTAGGCTGGGGTGTCCTGGGTCCACAGTGATGATGGTCTGCCAGACTGAGTGTTAAGGTCTCTATAGAGGATGAGGTTTTCATGGCAGACATGCTGAGATGTGCCATATCTGGGATAAATCTGGGATTATTGATGCTGTGGCCCTCAGAATTGATGTTCCTAAATTAGATATTTCTCTCGAGATGGTTCTGCCTTGAAGAATGGTTCTGTCTCTCCTTTCTGTGGGGTTGGGTGAGCCTCATAGTCTCCCCGGGATTGGGAACCTGTCCAGAATCTGCAGAGAACAGAGTATTTTAGTTTTTCTCTAAGAGATAAATATTTTTTTCCCAGTGTTGGAAATCAAAGCCAGGGCCTTGTGCAGGGCAGGCATGTGCTTTGCCAGAGTTATGTACTCAGCCCCAGAAGAGAGGGTTTTAACAAGAGTGTTGGCCTATAATGCAGGACATTTCAAAGTTGCTGACCCAAGGTCAGAGGCAGGGCGGTCATTAGGTGTTGTTGGTTCCTGCTGTTGAAGGCGGATGTTTAAACCTTGTGTAGATTTGCTACAGCAACAGCCAACTGTCATGGGGTCATTTGAGTCAGTTGTGGTCTGCGCAGGACACTCTCCTCTCACCAGGAACCCTAGCAGATCATAAGTCAGGAGGGAGATCTGCCGCTCAAGGCTTTCATGACCGAGCACCAAGTCAGGAGGCCCTGCATCATCTTCATCATCATTTCTTTTCTTTTTTCCTGTTCCTTTCCCTATTGCCTGAAACCACCTGGAGGTGTGGCCTAGCTCTCACATCATCCTGATTGGTAGTGTCTATTCTGGGAACCCAAACACCAGCTATGTAGCCAGGACTCATGTTCAGGAAGATAGAATTGTTGGGAACTTACGTTCTATTGGATAGTGTCTTCGTTTGCATGAGTTGATTACTCAGGCATTGCTAATGTCTCAGAGTGGAACAGATGTGGACCAAGACCTGCCAAAGATGCGGCTTATGTCTTGCACCCATGGCATATTAAGTCATTGGGACCAGTTAAGTCATTTCTCTCAGTTTCAATTTCCTCAGAATCTGTTTGCAGGATGTTGCAGGGTTCAGTGGACTGCTGTGTGAGATTGTGTCTTGAGCGCTAATTACCTGAGGACAGTTATGGGCAAGATAGCAGCCACATTTTACATAGTGGGGAAAGGGCAAGCAGAAAGCATGGGTGGCAGGGATAGCTGGTCCTTTAAAAGTCCTTGTGAATCTACCAAAAATTATCCATTCAAGACACATTTCCCAGTGTCTTCGCTGTGGCGGGCTCTGGGAGTCAGGCAGGGGATATGACCCAATCCTGGTGGTTAAGGCTTCCAGTCATGTCAAGAAATGATTGCCTTGTGCCTTTGGGAGCACGAAGGAGGAAGAGCCTCGCTGAGGAAACCTGGTCAGGGAGGAGCTTAGACAAGAGCAGGGAATGAGGTGGGAAGGGTCCTTTCCTATAGGATCTTTTGGGCCTTTGGGAGCCCAAAGGAGGGGAGCACCTCAGTAAGGGGGTGCAGGCAGGCTGTGGACATGCAAGTGCTGGTCAGGGCACTGAAGCAGAGCTACCATCTGCTCTGTGCTTGAGAACCGGCCATTGCATGTGGTTTGCTGTCACCCAGGAGCCGGCCGGAAAGATGCAGAAGAGAGCAGCATCCTACATGAAAGAGAGTTCCCACCCAGGCCAACATTTCCTCTCTTCCAGCATTTCTTTCTGTGTAAATATTTCCATTGTCGACAGAAAGAAGCGGGGACCAGCCTTTTGTCGTATCCAGAGCAGAATGTATAGCGTCAGGCATTTTGTGACGGGGTACCTTTGGAGACAAGAGAGGACAAGATGAAAATACGAGTTATTCCCTCATTCGCCTCCTGTGTTTTCTCTGAAGATGGTTTAGGTGAAAACAATCTCAATTATTCCTTTATCACACGTAAAATGCCTCCGAAGCCCAGGCCGCGTCTCGCATTAGGGCTGGTGTATGGCTCGAAGGAGAGGCCAGCTTATTTCCAACCTGCACTATTAATTATAGGGCACTTGCAAGAGGAATCGAGCCTGGAAATGCAGCTGGCAAGCTAACACCTAATTCAGTAAATAACTGAGAGTCAAACCATTATTTTCCCGAAAACTTGAAATTGTTCAAAGTACTTTCCTGATTAGCACCTAAATAATAAAGTAATTATGTAATTAGTAATTAATTTGTCACTTCAGGACATAATTTAATTTATTATCTTTTCTTTTAAGCTTGACACCAGAGGTAATAGGGGCTGTGGTTGAGTTAACTGAATTCTGGAGGCAGGGTGGGTGAATGCAGGCTCTAGAATGAGTGCACATTCGCAGGGCCTGAAGGCTGGAGTCCCAGAACGCCCTTGCAGGGACTTGGGAAGGTTTGTCACCATCGCTGCTGGTATCTTTCCACACATGGCTGAGCCCTGCGTTTCTTGAGGGTCTGTGTTTTATGTGATGAAATGCACTCCTTGATTCACTGTGTAGTTCCAAATGTCCTTTGTACCCACCCAGCTATAGGTGTTGGAGATGCGAGGCCAAGGTAGCCCTGCTTGGTGTTGCTTCCAAGAGGATGTATGTGCTTGCATTTGTGCTAATGAAGTACCCCACATCCAGGAGGGATAGGAAATTTGAATATTCAGTGGCACTAGGAAGAGGCACCCGCTCACATGAATCAACGGAATGGGGTCTGGATATAGAAGTTCAGGTCACGCGAGAGTGTCTGCAAATGGACGGTCTTGAGTTTGGAAGTTCTTGCTGCAGAGGAGACCCAGGAAGCCAGGGTTGCTAGAATCAGCAGGAGAATGTGTCCGGGAGAGGCTGCTGGTGCAGGCAGGACCCAATGCCAGCACTCTCTGACTGACTCTTGGAGCATGACTGTGTGGAGGGGGCAGGAGCCTTTCTGAAGCTCTTCCTTAGTCTGCAGTCTAAGACTCCCAGGGGTGATAATGGCGGTGGTGATGGCAGCACAATCAGAGTTTGCTGTAAGCATTTGTCCGCCTTTTACACAAGCTCTTTCATAAACCTCTTCTTTTTTATTACCTGCATCAGTTCTAGAGGGGAGAAGATTTAGAGAAAGCCCAAAGAGTCCGAGGAACCCGCCTGAGATTATAGGGCAGGCTAGTACTTGAACTTGGACCCTTGAGAGCAACCCAGGATGGCCTATCCTCGTATTGTTGGATTTGGTGCTAGTATTCAGAATAGCCATTTGAGGAGAACATGGAACCAGTAGTTGGAGAGGTCCAAGTTGACCGGATTGTCTGTGCACGTAGCTCAGGCAAAGGATGCTGAGTTTCTTGAAAGCCGATTATCCAAACAGGATGGAGTGTTAATCATACCTTCAGTGCATGGAAGAGGATAACCTCATGTAATCAGGGGAGAATTAAGAAAGTAGTAGCCTGTGGGAATTCACTGCTCACCTTTATCCACAGGAGCCCAGGAGGAGGAGGCAGGTGGGGGATTTTCCCTCTGTGGAATGAGGGATAAGCAAGACTGAGCATCCTTAGCCTGGGACCTGTAGTAGGCCTTGATGGGACTCAGTCAAGAAATCTCCTGCAAATGAATGGACTTGGTGGAACTGGAATACAGGGAGTGGGAGACCCTGTGCAGCGTGCTAATCCTGAAGGGAGGTGGGAGAAGCGTCAGTCTTGTGTGTCGTGTTTCTAGCCCCGAGCACAGCGGCCTCCCGACCATACGTGTCTGTAAATACACTTAAGGGCAGTAACGAAGTTCAGCCAGATGAGTGTAGAATTTGGAGGGGGCCAGACTGAGAGTAGGTCAAAGTTGACCAGATTGTCTCTGCCAGCAGCTCAGACAAAGGGTGATGAGTCTCTTAAAAGCCGATAATCCAAACAGAGTGGAGAGTTAATCATACTTTGAGAGCACGGGGGGAGGATAACCTCACATAATTTGTAGGTCCTAGCCGCCTCCCCCCTGTGATATATTACATCGGGTAGAAGTTTCTGCACTCTGTTTTTGTTCCTTTGTCCTTGCAAGACTGCAGAGTTCTGCGCAGGTGGATGGAGCCCGTCTCTCACTTTGCTGGTGTTCTTTGCAGCCCCCCCCACCTTTACAGAAACACCCCCCCAGTACATTGAGGCCAAGGAAGGTGGAAGTATTACCATGACTTGCACCGCTTTTGGGAACCCTAAGCCCATTGTCACCTGGCTCAAGGAAGGGACCCTCCTCGGTGCTAGTGGAAAGTACCAGGTGAGTGCAGCTCTCACCTGGGTACCACAACCACCCCTCCTCATCCTGTCTCCTTGCCTATCTCCCATCTAAGGCAGCTGGCCACTGGTGTACAGGCCCAGGGTGGAGGCAGGCAACCTAATGCCCTGACTTGTCTGCAAGCGTTCTGCTGCCTTTTGTAGGGAGGTGAACGGGGAGGCCCTTTTCCTCCTTTCCCCTGTCAATGAGTCCCTCAGGCCTTTTCCTACTTCTCAGAGCTCATCTTTTTGCTTTAAGAGACAAGCCTGTGAGGCCCACAGGTTGATGCTGAGTTCTGTGCCCCCAGGTGAGTGACGGCAGCCTGACAGTGACATCGGTCAGTCGGGAAGACAGAGGCGCCTATACCTGCCGAGCGTACAGCATCCAGGGTGAGGCTGTGCATACAACTCATCTGCTTGTTCAAGGTAGGGAGATTGTCTCAGGGTCTTTATCGCTGGATCTCTGTAGGAGCCTTCCAGGCCTGCTGAACTGTGAACTGTGGAGGATGTTTTCTCAGGGCCTAGCCTGCCCAAATGGGGGTGCTAGAGTTGGGTGGGTGGGATCTCTCTCACATGTATCTCTTACCCTGACTCCTGCCCTGGTGAGTGGGGAAATGGTGCTGCACGGAGACAGGGACCATGCTGAGCTGTTTCTGATTTCCTGTTGAGGGCACATTCCTTTTTTTTTTTCCCCTCACACATTTGAGACCCCCCCCCCCCCCCCCCCCCCCCCCGGGTCATCTATCCATCAGAGACAGTGTCAATATGTAAAGTCAGGACAATAATCCAAGTATCTGACTTTTAAGCAACTTCAGGAACTTTGGGTAAATCTGGGTTCTGTATTCAGTTGTGAGAGGTAGCCCCTGAGCGCACTGAAAGGGACTGAGCATTCATTGCCAGGGTGGGAAAGGTGTCAGGTAGGGGTCTCTGTGTGCTAGAGTGACAATGGCAGGTAAGGGTAGTTGTGTCTAGTTGGCAGGGCAACTGTGATGGCATCCTCTCATTTGGCTTCTGAGGACAGGGCAGGACCTGAGGCAAATGGTGGGAAGTAGCCTCCCTTTTGACCCCAAGGGAGGGTCAAAGCCTAGCTCTGCTAAGGTCTGGCTTACTAGTCCCAGGGCTTGCTGGATTGTGCTTCTTTGCTCCCCACAGTCCTCGCCTCAGTGGCCTGAACCTCCGACTGGAGAACAGTACAAGGTTCCGCTACTTTAGAGACAAGAACAGGCCTTGTGCTTTCTAACTTGAGCTCTGTTGGGGAGAGTTGGGCAGGAAAGGTGCATGGGGGTTATAACTGGCTGGTCTGCAAACCATGGGGCCATTGCAGATGTGGTACTGAGCCTCGCAGCAGCTGGAAGCATCTCCATGCTGACTGCCTGGGCTCTGCGACCTGGACACTTCATCTCGAGCATCCCAGAGCTTCCTGGGAGGCCTGACATAGTAGCCTTCCCAATCAGGAGAGGTGATGTTTACTCCCCGTTCTCCCCAGGGCCTCCCTTCATTGTTTCCCCTCCTGAGAACATCACAGTCAACATCTCCCAGGATGCTCTGCTTACCTGCAGGGCAGAGGCGTATCCTGGCAACCTCACCTACACCTGGTACTGGCAGGATGAAAATGTCTACTTCCAGAAGTGAGTAGTACCCTGCTCCAACCCTCTTACACGGGCCCCCACAGGCCACTGCCTTGAGAGAGGGGCCCTGGCACTGCTTGGGAACCCAAAGCTCCCTTGCTGCCTCTAGGGGCGGTGAAGTGACTCACGGCTACCTTGCTTGTTCTTTTTTCTGCCAACATCGCCCTTCTTTTTGCCTGCTCCTCACTGTTTTGCAGTGACCTGAAGCTAAGGGTGCGGATCCTGATTGACGGGACGCTGATCATCTTCCGAGTGAAGCCAGAGGATGCTGGAAAGTATACCTGTGTCCCTAGCAACAGCTTGGGGCGCTCCCCTTCTGCCTCAGCATACCTGACTGTGCAGTGTGAGTAGGGGTGAGGGAGAGGGCTCTGGGCATTTTAGCACGTGCAAGTTACACTAGCGAGATTTAAAGTTGAAGACCCAGCATGTTTCTGAGGACTAGAGGAACACCCGAGGGGGGACTAGTCCTCTAGAGAAGGCCATGGCCAGTCGGGCCAATAGAATGAACTGATACTGGCAGATGTTGTCCGTGGGCTGGTCATCACTTGGTGCCAGCCAGTTCACTGATTCAAGTTTAGGTCATGTTCAAGGATAACGAAGCTTAGCTTTAACCATTTGCCGTTCAGAATGGTAGTCCTTGTGTTATTGAGTACTGGTTTATACCTGGACTGACTGGGTCTGCTTCCATACCTGGCTCCCTCCTGGCTACCCAGTCCCTCTCCTCTGGGGCCGTGAGACTCAAATTAATGAGCTGCTGTTCTGCCAGACCCATAGAGGGCTTCTGGGGAGCCCTAGATCCCACGTAGAACTAATACTTGGGCGCCTCGGGTTGCTTTCCTACCCCGTGACAAGCTGGACATTTGACAGAGTGAGATGGGAAGATGGGTAATGAAGATTAATGCCTTCCCTTTGACTCATGGATGGTCCTGTCACTCAAGCAACAAAGGCTGCAGGTTGTTGCTATAGGTGACAGACTTCCATTATTAGAATGCTGGTGTGGGAGAATTATATACACCCGAGGACATGGAGAGGCAGGGATAAACAATGTAACATGGTGATCTAAACCAACCTCTAAGCTGAGGACAACTTAGAGGAACAATTGGTGACCTTGGGAGCTCCCCCTGACGGCTGCGGAGTGCTGGCAGGGGTCTGCTGTTGAACACGCAAGGTCACAGTGGTGAAGCTCCATTGGACTTGCCGAGTCCCGCCCCACTCCTCACAGTGTGTGTTTTCTCATTCTGTGGGGTGACTTTGCGGGTGGGAGGGAGCAAAGGCCTCGATCCGCTTGTACTGCTGACACCTCATCAGGATTTGTGCTATGCTGGGGTGCAGGTTCCAGACTGTTATGAGTTGGGAGGCCCGGGACACTGGGTGGACTTCCTAGACCTGTAGTAGGAAAAGCATGCAGTCCTTTTCCTGCATGGACCACAGGAACGGGCCGCTTCACCTTGCAGATGTGTGTCTCCCTCTGGGATGGGTGTAGGCAGTGCCACATGAACTAGAAGGTAGCAGTGATGCAGGAGTGAGCCAGCCAGCAGGAACCAGCTTTCAGAAGGATGCCAAACCAACCGAGATGAAGGCTCCATCTTTGGAGCTGCAGGCCACTCGTCTCTTGCTGAGGCATCTTGGTTTCCCTGGCTCTCCTCAGCACCAGCGTCCCCACCTGCTCCCACTTGTCCCTTTTTACCTCATTCCTCTCTTCAAAGAGAACCCAGGGAGTCGAGATTTATAGGTGGGTGAGACAAGGATCTTTATTTCTGCTAAAGAGCAGTGCTCAGAGTATTTCCCATTCATAAACCCTTTGAAAACCTTGGAGGAATAAAAAAAAAAGGACTATCATACAAAAGTAGGAAGCTACATCTAAATATATAACTCGGCCTGGTATTTATGTAAGGCTCTTCTGTGAAGGGCTCAGAATGCTTAAAAGGTACCAAATGGCTCATTCGTCACAGTCTTCCTAGCTCTGGATCTTTCTCCTTTGTAGCCCTAGGGGTCCTGGGGGGACATGAGAAGATGTTACTTACCTTTCATCACAGGGCTCCCGGGCCTCTTGCTGTCTGTCCTGGGGCCATGGTGGGTCTTACCTTTAACTGCAGAGTCAAGTGAAATACTGAGGCCAAGGGAGGCTAGGCATCCTGCAGAAGGAATACCAACCGTTCTGCTTGGGACAGCATTGCACCTAGAACTGACATTGCTCTTTCGGTTTAGGATGTGAAGTAATTAACTGCTTACTCCTGAGAAACTTCAGGATACAAAGTAGTTGGAGAACTGCACAGTCATTGTTGGCTTGGCAGGGCTGGGCTAAAGTCTGTGGTGAGAGCCGCTTCCAAGTCCAGGCCCATTTAAAACGCACCTTTGAATGCCTCCACTCATTCCTGAGCATCCTACAGTTCTTAATAGCGTAGTAAGCGGGGCCGATGAAAGAAGTATGCAGCCTGCTCCTGTCTGCTGTGCGTGGCCCCTAGGCTGTAAGTGCTCAAGGGTGGGATTGTTGGTGGCCCTGGCTCCTAGCCCTGTGTGGAATGTTGAGAATCTGAAGTAGTAGATGCCTCGGTTCTTTTGCAAAGGAATGGGGAGCGTGCGCTGGCGCTCACCTTCGGCTCTGATGGTTCTCTCCCACACCACCCCTATCGCAGACCCAGCCCGCGTCCTCAACATGCCCCCTGTCATTTATGTGCCCGTGGGAATCCATGGCTATATCCGCTGTCCTGTGGATGCAGAGCCACCCGCGACTGTGGTGAAGTGGAATAAGGATGGCCGGCCACTGCAGGTAGAGAAGGTAGGAGGGAGATGCTTGTTGGGACTCAGGAGGAGGAGGATCCTTCTGACAATAGAGATGCTGCCTCTGGGCTCTGATCCTTTGCCAGTCCCACTCCTCCTTAAAAAAAAAAGAAAAAAAGTCTAGGCAAACAAAGAGCAACCATCTGGCAGGCGTTTGGTTGTGTTCCTTGTCCGCAGGGGACGCCAGTTTCAGCTGAGCCGCTGTTCTGACCTATACCCCTCTAGCCCAGCTCAGACTCGGCCCGGAAGCGGCTGGTATGCAGTGCCTGTGTCCTGACCATGGCCCCCCCCCCCCCCCGCTCTCTTATCTCTGTCTGGCAGAACTTGGGGTGGACCTTGATGGACGATGGCTCTATTCGCATTGAGGAGGCCACAGAGGAGGCTCTTGGCACTTACACCTGTGTGCCTTACAACACCTTGGGGACTATGGGCCAGTCTGCCCCTGCTCGGCTTGTCCTAAAGGTGAGTCTCCCGGACGGTGCGTGGCCCCCGTGGTGGGCAGTCTTCCTTCGGCCAGCCTTTCACGCGTGTGTCTCTGTGCTTCCCTCAGGACCCCCCGTATTTCACGGTGCTACCAGGCTGGGAGTACAGGCAGGAGGCCGGCCGGGAGCTGCTCATTCCCTGCGCAGCTGCAGGGGACCCCTTCCCTGTCATCACCTGGAGGAAGGTACCTGGGCCTTGAAGCTCTTGCACTGTGGGGGAGGCAGGGAAGAGCCAGTGGTAGTTCTGTTTGGAACCGTGTGGACAGGCCAGATGTTAGGAGGGGAGGCGACGTTGGAGGATAGCGGTGGGGTGTTGGCACTGGGCTCGGGGCTCGCCACACCGCCGTCATCCTCTTCGGACGACTCCTGAGTTGTGAGCACGCGTCCCTTAACCTGAATCCCTGCTCCCATCCTCTTCCCTGCTTCTTGTTTGGCTAAGGTAGGGAAGCCCAGCAGAAGCAAGCACAACGCCCTGCCCAGCGGGAGTCTCCAGTTCCGTGCCCTGAGTAAGGAGGACCACGGGGAGTGGGAATGTGTGGCCACCAATGTGGTCACAAGCATCACTGCCAGCACCCACCTCACTGTCATCGGTACGTGGTCGAGTAGGCCATCTGGGGTGACTGTTATCACTCTGCAGGCATCTTTCCTATGTACAACCTGAAACCCTTGACCGCAGGGGACTCTGGCAGGCAGGGTTGGGATCCATGTTTGTCCTGTCTTGGGGAGGGGAGGGGAGGTATGTGAGAACTGGAACAGAAAGAGTGAGAATCAGATATGGCACCTTGGCCAGACACGGGGCTGCCTGGAGGGAGGACTGGGGTCCACAGCCTGGGGCAGGAGGAATGACTGCGCTCCTTGTTCTGATTGCTCAGGACGTGCCAGCCTGAGTGTAGCCTGTGCCCTTGGGACTTGACAGTCACGGTAGCACCCACAGCCAATACAGTTTTTCCTGTCAGTTTAGACTATGAATGAAGTGGTCTGCATCTTGCTATTCATAACCTGGCTCGGAGTCACATCCTTCATACCCAGCAGGTGTGGCCTTGTACCTGGACCACTGCTGACTTCTGTGTGCAGTGTGGCTGTCTTTTGTAGCTAGAGATTAAGGGGATGTGATTTTTTGGGTTTTCCCAGGATGTCAAGGGATTGGTTTTTTTTTTTTTTGTTTTTGTTTTTTTGTTTTTTTTTTTTTGTTTTTTTTTAGCTCACAAAATGCATGGGAATTTGGTCAGGATGAGGAGGGTTCTGTTTTCCCCTCTGGCCCGTGTTCCTGCTGGTGATGCTAAGCCTATGTAGTGGATGGGCTTTTCTCTCTGACCCCAGCAGGACCAGGGTGGGCCTGGGATCCTGCTTTCGCTGCAGGCACTTCTTATGATGCATCTTGGTACCCTGGAGCTCCCACCAGAAGATGATGGGGACGAGCAGATAGGCTTCTTTTGGTCTGAGCTGTCTTCCTTGGTCTCCAGGCACCAGTCCCCACGCCCCAGGCAGTGTCCGGGTCCAGGTCTCCATGACAACTGCCAATGTGTCCTGGGAGCCAGGCTATGATGGAGGCTACGAGCAGACATTCTCAGTTTGGTACGGACCTCTGTGAGTCAGCCCCGCATGCTTTGCTCTCTGCTTCTCTTTCCCTTGCCCCATGTAGGGCACCCAGCCTGCCCCATCCCATCCCATCCCACCCTGGGGCTGGTGGTGGGCCCAAGGAGGCTAGGACCTGCAATTGTCAGCTCTGCAGATGGCCAGGCAGTGATGGAGTTCTTAAGGATGCTAGGGATGTCTATAAAGGGACTCAGTGAATCCTTATAGTACCACCCTGGAGGTCAGAATGCTGGTTTGGGCTTAAATCATCCCCCCTCCCCCTATGCCCTCTCTGTGGCCCCTCATTTACTATCTTAAGGATGCTAGGGATGTGTATAAGGGACTCAGTGAGTCCTTATGGTACCACCCTGGAGGTTAGAATGCTGGTTTGGGCTTAAGTCACCCTCCTGTGCCTTCTCAGTACCCCCTCATTTACTGTCTTACCCCAGTCTTTCTCCAGGTTCCTAGTCTTGACGGTGTTGTAAATGGCATGTGAGGTTTAGGGTCTAGTTTTTGTTGTTCCTTGCCCAGAGGTTCCAGGTATCAGGAGAACATATGCTCTCATTCCTGCCTGTGCCTCTCCTGTTTGTTTTTTCTCTCTAGGATTTTGCGCATGTCATTTTCATGTCTGTTATTAAGTGACTTAAGATCCTTGCCCAAACCTTGGGGTAGCTAGATCTCACAAATGCACCGACCAGAATGAGGACCCAAGGCCTGGGATACTATGAAGAGAAGCCGAGCGAGCGCAGCACTTCCTTCTTTCCCACATCTCCGGGGCTTCTCATTCCTAGCATTCCTGTCTTGAGCTGGGAACCACAGCTTCACAGACAACATTCTTCAGTGGGGAAGACAAACCTTTTATTTCCCTCTCCTTCAGCCTGGTTCAGTCTGAATCTGGGGAGGAGGAACAAGCAGATGTAGACCTCAGAGAGAGCCTTCCGCAGCCTGAGGTTGAGGGCGGCCTTCCATCTCCCCAGCAGTTCTCAGACTGTATGCATATACAGAGTTTCCAGATCCCTGTGGATGAACTGTGCCTGCATTGGAGTTGGGGAAGGGTGGCATCTGGTGTAGCAGATTTGGGTGCAGATATGGGCTCCTTTTGTGGCCTATGGCACTGCTCTGTGTGAGGACGCTGCTCCTCTGCAGCACTTTTATCACATTCTGTTCCCTTGCTTTGGCAGGGAAGAGCAGTTGCCAGGGTAGAGGAGATTCCCCCCTTCCTTTTGACAGATCATTGTACTATTATAGTCATTTGGTGCCTGCTGTTTTTTTTTTTTTCTTTTTCTTCCCATACGTGTTTTGCCTCTGCTCACATTATTGGGCATTCCTGATAGCAGTAGTGAGTCTTCAAACCTAGGGAGGAACCTGTGGGTATCTGTGTTCTAGCTCAGAGCTGCATGGAGCAGGCCAGACAGGCCAGTTATCCTGGACAATGTCTCCTCCCTGTGGTGTCTTCTGGAACTGCATCTGCAGCAGGTGGTTTCCTTTCCTGTTGGGAGTTGAGGAGGCGGGCTTTGGGGTGGAAAACCTCACCCCTAGTTTCTTTATTCTCTGTCACTTTCCCCTTGACTGTGATTTCTGTCCTCCAAGGTCAAAGTCTCAGGAATCCTGGGCCTGCCACGAACCACGAAGCAAAGCCTGTTTTTTTTCCCCCCCCCCCCAGCCTTAGCTATCCTCAGATGACCCAAGTTGGACTGGGTCTAGCAGAGCGTCCTGGATGACTTTGGACCCCACTTTTGTCTCTCCCTGTAGGATAGACAGTCAAGGGTGTCTAGGTTCCTTTTCTAGTCATGCCATTGTCCAGCTGCTCCTTCTCAATCCAGTGTCCCTATTCTATCAAGCAGAACCCATATATAAAGTGGTACTGAGAGTGGAATTCTCTCACAGCGCAATTGGTAACTTGATCAGTGTCCTCAGCACGATTTACACTCGAGGACCCCCTTTCCAAGGGGAGGTACCACAGTGGGGGGTGCCCAGGTGCCATGAAAGTTGGCATAGCCAGAGCTGGGCAGGTAACCCCATCTTGGCTATCCTTCTTCCTGCCCTTGGACCTAGGAATGCTTGTATTTTCACTGCCTTTTCCTTGGGGATCTTGCGTGCATGCTGTTCTCTCCAGTGTGACCCACCCCACCCCTTCTCCCCCATCTCTTCTCTCTCTCTTTTGGTCAGGATGAAGCGGGCTCAGTTTGGGCCCCACGACTGGCTGTCCTTGTCAGTGCCACCGGGCCCCAGCTGGTTGCTGGTAGACAGCTTGGAGCCTGAGACCGCATACCAGTTCAGTGTCCTGGCCCAGAACAGGCTGGGAACCAGCGCCTTCAGTGAGGTGGTCACTGTGAACACTTTAGGTGAGGTCCTGGGCTGGTGTGTATCGGGATTATTTCTTAGCAGATCTGGGCTAGACAAAGGTGATGCTACTGATAGTCTTAGAACTAACATTAGGGCTCAGTGTGTGCCAATACCTTACCAAGGGTTCTCTGTAATGGGCTCTTTTGATGTTCCAGTAAGGATTCACCATTTTCCTCTGTAGGGTTTCTGGTCCCATTTCATGGGAGCCCTCAGATGGAATGGTGAGGTTCAATGCCATGTAGGAATGTTTGGCAGTTCTACAAGGGGACAGGGAGTCCTTCTGCATTGTCTGATTGCAGTTGTATTTCTTCTGGGGGCCTTGAAGAACAAGCCTTGGCAAGAGACACTTCTCAGGTGGATGAAGGTCGTGTCCCCAGCCCCCTTTCTGCCCCGTGGATGGCAGGTGTAAAATGCTCACCCCAGACTCTGAAGTTCATCTGCTGGGCGTCATTTATTGTTTGTTTTGGAATAGGGTCTCACTGTGTAGCCCTACCTAACCTGGAACTCACTTTGTACCTAGCTGGCCTTGAACTCACAGAACTCTGCCTGTCTCTGCCTCCCAAGTGTTGGGATTAAAGGTTTATACCACCAAGCCTGGCCTGGGCCTCATTTTGAGCTCAAGGGCCCCAAAATGGAATCAAAAGTATGACTCGTGTGTCATGAGAAGAGCTTATTAGTTCTTGGGATGAGAACAGAAGATAAACCATGTGCCTCTTAATAGTAGGGAAAGTATCAGAGGAATCCACATCTGAGAAACGTGCCATTAAGCAATGAGGTCATCGTGGAGATGACATGGTACATGAGACTAAATGAAATCCAGTGAACTGTAGACCCACAGAGCTGATGTTGGTAGAGCAGGGTGGGCTGTTTTCACCAGAAACCCTTTCCGTTGTTGGAGTACACCCTAGCCATAGAAATAAAGCATCGGGCCTGGAGAGATGACTCAGAGGTTAAGAGCACTGGCTGCTCTTTCAGAGGTCCTGAGTTCAATTCCCAGCAACCGCATGGTGGCTAACTGTAACGAGATCTGGTGCCCTCTTCTGGCCTGTGGGGAGAGATGCAGGCAGAACACTGTATACATAGTAAATACATAAGTCTTAGAAAGACATATATGGCATAATAAATGCATATACATAATAAACACTCATGGTTGGGTGGGTGTTGCTGTTGCCACATATTCTGCACATGGTACGTGACCCACAGTGCCACAGATTTGTTCATACTGATGTACCGCTCATGTGGGAGGTGGGAGGCACTGCCCCTGTGGGAGGCACTGCCCCTGTGGGAGGCACCCGTTTTTTCTCTCTTACAGTGTTTACTCTCTTGCCAGATGATAGGAATGTTTAGCTCCATAATTTCATGGGGCCACCCTCAGAGATGTCATATGGCACATGACTGTATTCTGCACTAGATTCTTCTCTCTTCTCCATGGTGCCTGCTGCTTCTTCCCTTCTGAGGAGGTTTTCGGTCATCTTGCCAGTTGTCTTAGTCTGAAAAGAGTCACAGCTGTGGGTCACCAGCCCTGACTTACCTTTCCTGGCATCAGGAGGGCTACTGTAGGGGACACCCTCTCCTCTCTGAACCAAATTCGTCTTTTGCTAGGCTCTGCTCCCCACGCTGGGTTGGGGATCTGTGGCCCTCATCTTTCTTCTTCCTCTTCCTTCTATAGCATTCCCCGTTACAACTCCAGAACCCCTGGTGCTGGTGACCCCACCAAGGTGCCTCACAGCCAACCGGACCCAGCAGGGTGTGCTCCTGTCCTGGCTCCCACCTGCCAACCACAGCTTCCCCATTGACCGCTATATCATGGAGTTCCGAGTTGGGGAGCGCTGGGAGATGCTGGATGATGCCATCCCAGGCACTGATGGAGACTTTTTTGCCAAGGATCTGTCACAGGTGGGGACTTGAACCCTCTTGTCTCTTTCTTCTTCCCAGTTTCTGGAGTTGTTACGACTGTTTGTAAAGCCACTGAGTATTGAGTGACGCACCTCAGGAACGTAAGGTCAAGCCCTGCACTGACCCTCTTTATCTGTGGTCTTAGACTCTCCCTAGTCTAAGGGTTGGATTAGGTCCCCAGACCAGAGCTAGTTAGCTTGGCATTGGGGACCAGCGCTACACAGATGGTTTGACTCGGCTATAGACTCTAACTAGGATAAGGCAGGCTGAGGCCAGTAGGGATCACCAGACCTCAGAACTCAGTTTCCTGGGTTCCAGCTAGGGTGGGCTAAGGAATCCCTAGAAAATTTGTCTCCTAGGCTGGTCAAGAGAAGGGGTCTTCTTTTAATAATTCAGAGTCCTGGGAGAAAACACATTCCCTCCCCCCCCTTTTTTTTTGTTTTTTGGTGGACATCTTTTAAGCAGGCGCATCTTTTTCTTGAGAGAGAAAGAAGCTTGTTTCGTAGATAGAAGAGATCTCATCCATGTATCCTTCAATTTCCCCTTTCCTGCATGTTCTGAGTGGCCACTGGAATTGATTCATGAAGCCATTTGAGAGCTCATTGTGTATCTATCTCTGCAGTCTTCAGTGGTCTTGTGTGCATGGCTCAAAGTCCATAGCTCGAGTGGTGGGAACATGCACACCATAACATTGACTGATACAAGCAGTCATCATTAAACACTTCCTGGGACAAGGGTACCCTGTTCCTTGGAAGTCATGCACAGGGTCAGTGGCTGTGGTCCGAAGCCCCGCAGCTGACTAGGTATTGTCCCTGGATTGCAGGATACGTGGTATGAGTTCCGGGTTTTGGCTGTCATGCAGGATCTCATCAGCGAGCCCAGCAACATCGCCGGCGTCTCCAGCACAGGTACTTTGGGTTCCCGAATGGTCTAACAACAATCAGGACATAAGCCTTAGGGACACATGAGAATCCTCTGTGGAACAGCTAATCTGGGAGGATGGACTGGGTTGGAGACGTAAGCTTGGGAGTCCTAGCATTTCCTAAGTCCATCAGATCTGTGATTCCGTGACACGTGATGGTTTGTCCCACCATGGAGCTGGGCCGCTGCTACACTGTAAGCCAGCCGAGGAAGGAAATCCATTCCATCCTGTCAGTGTGTGCTGCTTGCTATACACTTTCTGTTTGCTCTTGAGCTTTGGTGTGTGATGGGGCGGGCACTGTGAATTAGAGGGAAGACGTAGCAGGTCAACAAGTGTTTGTTGGATGCCTATTATAGGCTTCCTTATAATTATGTGGGTTTTATTTGGAAAATTGTTGTTTGGTGTTGTTTTCCTTCCTTTCTTCCTCTCCCTAGAGTTTTTTTTTTTGCTTTTTCTTTTTTTCTTCAGGCTAAATAAAGCCAACTCCCTAGCATTTTCTCCATTATCTTTTTTCTTCTTGGCGCTGGTCCCATTTCTACATGTCTTCTGTCCTTTCCAGAGTTCCTGAAACATAGCAGAGACCCTCGCCAGGGAACTGGTGTCCTTGGTTTGGGAGAGGCTCTTGCTTAGTAAGCCAGCCAAGGCACATTTGCTTGGGTGTAGAGTGTACTGAGATCCCTAGGACCAGGCTGCAAGGGTCTTGGCCAGAAGGCTCTTGTAGGAAGCTTCTTGGAGTTACCAAAGTACTGGTGTGGACAGATGGGAAGAGAGGAGTGAAGCTGAGGGCATACGGGGAAGGGGAGAGTGTGATTTTTTTTTGTCTTCTATATTAGGCACCCTGGGGTGTTTGTGTAAACTCAAGTTATCTCCCATAGGCGGCAAAACGGAGCTGCTTCTGTTTTGGCTTCCCTCCAGGGAAGAGATGCAGAGAGAGAGAGAGAAGAACCTAGAAAAATAGCTTCCAGCCAGAGCCAAAGTAGAGGACTTGAGTGTTTTGCGCGCTTGGTTCTGTGAACTGTTCTGACTCAGTAGCCTTGTGCCCAGGCCCCCCAAAGTAAGGAAGCCACATGGGGGAACGAGGCTGCAGCAACAGCGGCATCCCCTGTAGTTAGCTCGCCTATTTTCCAATGGTCCATCAGTGCGACGTGGTTTCGTTTTATCCATTATCATTATTGACACGGAAGCGAACTCTGGGCAGCCCTATCACAATGTTTGAAATTTCCCTTTGGTATCCTGTAAGACTGGCACTTACTGACCCCACGACCCATGTGTGCAGTACAGTGGGCTGAGGTCTGGACCAGCTCTGTCACTAACTGGCCTGTGAATCCTGCATAAAGCTTGTTCTTTAACTGTGGGAGCGAGAAGGAGCCCATCCTGTCTACAGCTTCTGGAGTCTGAATGACCAAGATAGAGCAGTCCTTGCTGTAGGCAGCTTCCAGCCTGTCCTATAAGGAGTTAGAAGATGGATGGGTCCATATCCTAACCTATCAGTCCCTCGCTCTGGTTTAGAATTGTGTCCCCAAGGTGTCTTCATTCTATAGATGGCACGGGAGAAGGCTGGAAATTGGAATAACTGTGCTCCTGCTAGGGTACGCCAATAGCAGAGTGAGTCAGTTCCTCAGGCTTCGCCAGTCAGTGTCTTCATTTGGAGAAGGAGAGTCTGTGTGTAGTTTGCAGGGTTACTATGGGAGGTCTGAGAGCATGCGTGGAAGCGCTTTGCTGCACTCACAGCAACAGACAGCCATAGAGGATGACTGGGATTATCCTCAGGAGGGGAGATGTGGGTATCATTGCTTCTTTGTAAGCTACAGGGAAGTTACGTGACTGTCACAGACTGCCCCTTCCTTACCTCTCCCCACACTGCTGCGCCGACCCCATTACTCCTCTTTAAAGGCTCATGTGAGAACCGGGTGTGGAAGCCAGGCCTCAGCCTCATCTGCCACGGACAGGGAAAGGTCTCTGGAGATCAAATCTCAGAGCAGGTGGGGAAAACTTTGTAAGCATGAGACCCACGAGTGCTTCTGGCCTTCCTTGCAGACATCTTCCCACAGCCGGACTTGACCGATGATGGGCTGGCCCGGCCAGTGTTGGCTGGGATAGTGGCCACCATTTGCTTCCTGGCGGCCGCCATCCTCTTCAGCACTCTGGCTGCCTGCTTTGTCAACAAGCAGCGGAAGCGGAAGCTCAAGCGGAAGAAAGGTAGGCGCTTGTCCCCTCTCGGTGCCTGACTGGGGTCAGGTGTTCTCTAGAAGGCAGGCAAACCGCTTGGAGAGCTTCTTTCTCCTCTGGAAAGAGGGATACAGGGATCTTGCAGGCAGAGCTGCCAGTGGGATTAGATTTGATTTTTAAAATATTTTTGCTCATTTCTGGAAAATTCCACATGCCTATTATCTTCCCCTACTACCTCTCACTCCCTCCAGGACCCACCAATCCAGCTCCATCCGCATTTCACTTCCTTTATTATTATTATTATCACTATTATTGTTGTTATTGTTATTATTGTTGTTGTTGTTGTTATTTTGATAGAGAGCCCAGGCTGGCTTCAATCTTGAGATTGTCTTGCCTCAGCCTACCAAGTACTGAGATTACAGGCATGTGCCTCTATGCTCAGTCGGGCTTGATTTGAAAAGGGGGAAGAAGAGAGCAAGGGTATTGGAGAGAACAGGGATGGGCCAAGGCTACAGGGAGAGAGGGCCTCTGAGTTGGGCATAGAGCTGTGAGGCAAGCGGAGCCTTTCCACTGTGACTGCCTATCAGGCCTCTCTGTGGACCCTGGTTGTAGAATGTCCCAGTTTCGTTTGTGGGCTCAGGCCTCTTCCTTTTGTTTTTCCTTCCAGATCCTCCGCTCTCCATCACTCACTGTAGGAAGAGTCTTGAGTCTCCGTAAGTATCTCTGGCTCTTGGGGGCGGGGGCTATAGGTAGAAGGTGGAGGCTGGACGTAGGTTAACTATTAGTTTTAGCTGGCCCCATTTCCCTAAGCGATTACACGTTTGCAGATTGGCATTCAGTTTTAAGTTGCCCACGTGGACTGAGGGAGTATAGTCGAGATGATCCAAGCTAGTAAGTTATTTGTTTAGCTTTGTGGTTTTGCTTTGCTAGAGTCAATGTTGCATTTCTTGAACAACTAGGGAATAGAGTTGGATTTGCACTTAGGCAGGGTGTACCAAATTTAGGCCAGGAAAACAGTAGCAGTGTGGGTGTTTGTTCCAGAAATGGATGATGCGTGTCTAGACAATTGAGCGAGCTGGCCAGAGTTTCTGACCGAAATATGCAGCCCATCCATGCTTGTTTCCTTTAGAGTCGCGGTTCAGACAATGACATAAAGTTGTAGGCTGTATAACACCCCTTATCACCTTCTGTTCCTATCCTTACAGCTTGTCTTCGGGCAAAGTGAGTCCTGAGAGCATCCGCACTCTCCGACCCCCATCTGAATCCTCTGACGACCAGGGCCAGCCGGCAGCCAAGAGGATGCTGAGCCCTACAAGGGAAAAAGAGCTGTCCTTGTACAAAAAGACCAAGAGGGCTATCAGCAGCAGGAAGTATAGCGTGGCCAAGGCTGAGGCTGAGGCGGAAGCCACCACACCCATTGAGCTGATCAGCAGAGGTCCCGATGGCCGCTTTGTCATGGGCCCTTCTGAAATGGAGCCCTCCGTGAAGGGCCGGCGAATCGAGGGCTTCCCCTTCGCTGAGGAGACGGACATGTACCCCGAGTTCCGGCAGTCAGATGAGGAGAATGAAGACACCCTGGTGCCCACGTCTGTGGCTGCTCTGAAGCCTCAGCTGACCTCTATGTCTTCCAGCCAGGACCCCTACCTGCCACCACCAGCATACAGCCCTCGGTTCCAGCCTCGTGGGCTCGAGGGCCCCAGTGGACTGGGAGGACGGCTCCAGGCTACTGGCCAAGCGAGGCCCCCGGCCCCTCGGTCCTTCCACCACGGCCAGTATTATGGGTACTTGAGCAGCAGCAGCCCTGGGGAGGTGGAGCCTCCACCCTTCTATATGCCAGAAGTGGGAAGCCCCTTGAGCTCGGTCATGTCATCCCCACCCCTGCACACCGAGGGACCTTTTGGCCACCCCACCATCCCTGAGGAAAATGGAGAGAATGCTTCCAACAGCACTTTGCCCTTGACTCAGACACCAACAGGAGGGCGCTCCCCTGAGCCCTGGGGCCGGCCAGAATTTCCCTTTGGGGGACTGGAGACCCCAGCCATGATGTTCCCCCATCAGCTGCACCCCTGTGATGTGGCCGAGAGTTTGCAGCCCAAGGCCTGCCTGCCCCGAGGACTGCCCCCAACCCCCCTCCAGGTGCCTGCAGCCTATCCAGGCATGCTCTCTCTGGAGGCGCCCAAAGGCTGGGTTGGCAAGTCACCCGGCAGGGGCCCCATTCCGGCGCCCCCTGCCACCAAATGGCAGGACAGACCTATGCAACCTCTGGTCAGCCAAGGGCAGCTAAGACATACCAGCCAAGGTATGGGGATACCGGTGTTGCCTTACCCCGAGCCAACCGAGCCCGGGGGGCACGGTGGCCCCAGCACATTTGGCCTGGATACCCGGTGGTACGAGCCCCAGCCCAGGCCCCGGCCCAGTCCCCGGCAGGCCCGGCGTGCCGAGCCCAGTTTACATCAAGTGGTGCTACAGCCCTCCCGGCTCTCACCTCTGACCCAAAGCCCCCTCAGTTCCCGCACTGGCTCCCCTGAGCTCGCTGCTCGAGCCCGACCTCGACCAGGCCTACTGCAGCAGGCTGAGATGTCAGAGATTACCCTCCAGCCGCCAGCTGCGGTCAGCTTCTCTCGCAAGTCCACACCGTCCACCGGATCTCCTTCACAGAGCAGCCGCAGTGGGAGCCCCAGCTACAGACCCACCATGGGCTTCACCACTCTGGCCACAGGCTACCCTTCTCCTCCACCGGGACCTGCCCCTCCGGCCCCAGGGGACAACTTGGATGTGTTTGGACAGACGCCTTCCCCTCGGAGAATGGGGGAGGAGCCACTCCAGCCAGATCCCCCAACAACCTTACCTAGTTCAGGGTGAGTGTAAGCCACTGCCTCCGGCCCACTTCCAATCAGGCTCCCCATGCCTTACTCTGTCCCCTACCTCCCCAACATCCCAACAACAGGCTTTGTTTGGGACATACTGCTGCACCTCTGGGAGAGGAGGTCTGGCCACACATTGGCCGAGTGCCTTCACTGGGACTAGTGGGCTTACCTGCTGGTACCCTGTCGGGAGCTTCATGAGTTGCCTCACCCAGCCCAGAGTTCAGTGAAGGCTCTCCGTGTATCAGGAATGTGGGGAAGGGGAAGGGGTCAGCTCAGCAGGCAGTGATGTCTGTGAATCCTGCTCATGAGGTTGGGGCTGACCATACCCTGGTGATCTCAGCGTTGGGTAGCGGAGGTTCTCCGCAGTTGCCTACAGACCTTGTGTCAGAGTCTCCTCTTGCGTAGCCACTCCCCACCACGTAGGGCCGCTGCTCTGGGGCCCCGTGTGCTTATACACGATGCCAGTTAGCATGCCCAGTAAGTGCTGAACTCTAGGCCATCCTTAGTCTCTCCAGGAAAATGCCCCTGGAGGCTAAGAACAAGCTCAGACTCGTGTGTGTGGGGAGCCATATCCTGTGTGCGTCACAGGAAGCTACAGAGAGACAGACAGACAGACAGACAGACAAGCTCCCGAGATCTGCTCGTCTGGGAGAGCACACTCTGTACTGTAGCAGCTGGCATTCCAGGTACCAATCGGCCTGGACGCCCGTCTGTACCTCTTCTTCCGGCAACCTGCCCTCCTCCCGTCCTCCTAGCCTTTGTTCCTTTTCAAGTCAGTCTGTCTTCCTCGTTTCCTTCTCCATTGCCTTGAGGTTGACCCAGTTTGCTCTGAAGAGACTGCCACGCCTCTGCCGTGCCCACCCTACCCTCTTCCCTCGCTTGACCTTCATCCTTTCCCCCTTCTCTTTCTCACTCTTTCTCTTGGGTTCTCTTCTTGATGTAGTGGCCTGTGGAAGGGAGCAGAGTTCCAGAAGAGGCTGTCCTGGTGGTGGAGGGATGGGAGGTAGCTGGAGAGGAGGGATCCCAGCCCTCCCCCTCCCACCGCTCTGGTCACTGGACACTGCAGGGCGCTCCTCGTGGGCAGGCTGTGTGGGGATCCTAGGGGCTAGCTGGGGCACCCGCCTCTGTCTGCAGCAAATGCTGTCCTCACTCCCTGTCTGTGCCTTGTACAGCCTGCTCACCATCTCTGTTCCATCCTGCCTTTGGCTCTCTGGCTCTCTCTTCTCCCTCACCCATCCTCTGGCCTCGCCTGGGGTCTCTGCTCGCTGTGCCCCCCTTCTCCCCTCTGGGTGCGCGTGGGTGGTTCACCTGGCCGGTGTTGGTAACTGCTTTGTTTCTGATTATCTCAGCTATCTGGGCAGTGTTGTCGAGACAAGCCTCTCCTCAGCTCAATAGGTAAGGGAGGTCATCGGTGGGGCGGGGCGGGGTGGGGCGGGCAGGGGGATGGGGCTTCAGCAGGGCCATCGCTTCTGTAAGAGGGGATCCAAAACATATCCCTCTCATTGCCCCACCTGGGCAGCCGCTGCTCCTGGGTTCCCATGGCTTCTGGGTTCCCCCCATCGCCCTGCTCTGCCGCTCCAGCTGCCCAGCTGGCCATGCCGGGGCACTGCCTAGCTGCAGCTTTTAACCTCCAAGCCCACACCCACCTTTCTAGAATGGACTGCAGCGATTCACACTTGCCACTCCACTGCCGGCACCCATATAGACCCCCCACAGCAGCTGCAGGACCCCGCATGAACCCCAAAGGACCCAGAATTTTCACAGTCAGCTTTGCATCTCTACCCTTGGGGACCTGTTTGGGTCCATACCGGGATCCAGGGTCCTCTCATTCTCTCTACCCCACTGCTCAGTTTCCCCGGCAGACTCAGGGATAGTGTCCTCCCTGACAACCCCGCCCCCTATACTCAGATCTTTTCCTGGGGTTGCTAATCCCTCACTTTTCCTGAGATTTTTTTTTTCCCCTTCCCGGCACTCTTGTTAGAGGTCCTTCTTCCACATCCATCTGGGTCCTCAGGATCAGGTGGCTTCCAGGTCTTTGGAAGGTGGGAAGTGTAACCACTCCCCCGGCTTCTTGCATTCTACAGCCCTTTCATGGTTGTTGCAGGACTGAACTGTGACCTCATCCTAAGAGCCACATTGCTTTCAGGATCCCTGTCGTAGCTATGCTGGCCTCCTAGGGTCATGTTCTTAGGAAAAGGCCTCGGGGGAGCTCATGCCAGGGAGAAAGGAGTTGAGTTAGCAGAAAGCCGGAAATCCTAGAGATCAACACTATGTCCTCCCCTACTGTGGCTGGCTCCTCTAGCCTCCTTCCAGGTGGACTCCAAAAGAAGGACCCCCCAGTGAAGGGGTCATGTATCTCTTAAGGATGCTCAGGACACTCGGAACTTCCTCTCTGTCAGAGCATCCTAAAGAGATGCTTGTTTTTGCATCTGCTCCATGGCCCGTGCTGGACTGGCAAACTGCACCAGGCTCCTGGGTGGAAAGAGGGAGCTTTTTGTGTTGGTGCTCTGGTTTCCAAGTGAGAAGACGCTACCTGCTTCTCTCCTCTCACGTGCCATGGCAGGCTGCTCTTTGTAATTCAGGACTATAAATCTCATTGTGTCATAAGAGAAGCCTCCCATAAAGAAACGGCGGGGACATTTCTTCATGACCTGAAGCTCTAAAGCTGTCAGGCAGTATCCCAGAGGCCCTAGCATGGTGTGAGGCCAACTGAATGCCAGCCTGTTGCCATTCCTTTTGGCAGGATCGTGCAGTGCTTGCGAGCTTACCTGCTTCCGGGACCTCCTGGATGGATGTTACAGAGCAGGGGCAATGACCAGCTTCCCTGCCCCGTGCCTGTCCTCCCCACCATTCCCTCGCATAGCGCATAGCTCCTTTGTTGCCCCCGAGGTTTGGTAGCCCTAGGACAGCTCTTACCCAGTTCCTGGGAAGTAGACAGACTCTACTGTCATCTGTGACTTCCAGCCCCTCCCCCGCCTACTCCTCCAATTCCCCTGACCCTGTCTTTCCCCATGTCTTCATCATGTCAGATCTGAGAGAACCCAGCCACATTATCACCGTGGCAAACCTGGAGTCCAGGGGCAGCAGGGAAGGACAGTTGTTCCTCTCCTAGGCCTGGCTAGCATCCCCAGCCCGGAAGAATGAAGCCCTCTACCTTATCTGCATTAGGCCTTTCTGGTGCTAGGCAACAGGAACCTCTGCTCATTCTCCTGCTTGCTGAAATACTCCCTGGGGCACAGGAGCTGCTGGGCCATGGGGAAGCGGTGGCTCCTTTGTAGGCGCTGTCTTCACGCTGCACCTTTGCATGTGTCCCCCGGTCTTGCTTGGAGACATGGTGATGCTTCTCGTCTGCGTTTGTCCTTGCTTTGTTTCTTTCCCCTTCTGTTTCTGTCCTCTCCTCCTGTTTATCCTGTTGCTGTCCCCGCCCCCCCCTCCCAGTCCTCTTTTTCTCTACCCTCTTCCCAGCTCCCATCTCAATGTGGGGCGTTGCGGTATGTGGATCTCTTCTTCTGTGAGTCACTGAGGGCCCAGCCACTTACTCAGTGCCCCTCTGATGCCGGTAACACTCCGATTTCCCATCTCTGTCAACTTCCATTTCCTGCGCCCTCGGTGAGGCAGGGGCCTGGAAAACGTAACCTGACCCCCCTTTTATTTAGGTGGATTCTAGGAAGGCGTCCCCATTTGGACACAAGCGTTTCCTGAGTCCTGAGTCTGCACCCTGACCCCTCCCTCCCCGAGAGGGATCCCTTTGTGATCGGGCTGGGCTGGCATGATGCTGGCTTGTGAATTTCTGGTCGTCTCTGGGGTACATAGAGAGTGCTTTCACCTTTTCCCTGACTGTCCTATGTACTCGAATAGATTTCCCCATCCTTTCACCCGTGATGAGAGGGAGACAGCCTCCAAGCTACTTCTTTCTACCTCCTGTCTGGGGGGAGTAAAGGGAAACTGTGGTGCTCTAAGTTGTTTACCTTCTGTTGCTAAACTGTGGTGCTTTAAGTTGTTTACCTTCTGTTGCTACGATAAACACCAGAACCGAAAGCAACCTTGGGGAGGAAAAGGGTTGGTTTGGCTTGTAGGCGCATCGTTCAGGGAAGTCAGGTCAAAAGCTCAAGAGAGGAACCTGGGGTCAGGAACCGAAGCAGAGACCGTGGAGGAACACTGCTTACTGGCTTGCTCCCGGGCTTACATTCAGCAACCTTTCTTATAAAGACCAGACTCACCTCCCTAGGAATGGTGCCACCCACAGTGGGCTACACGCTCCCACCTTTAGCAATCAAGAAAATGCCCGACATACGTGTCTTCATGCCAGTCTAATGGCAGCAGTTCTTCAACTGTGGTTCCCAGGAGTGTCAAGAATTGCTATCACACGTGTCTTGATGGCCAGTTCTTAGAGCACGGAAGCGAGGCAATGGCCAGCTGGATTTTGACTTTCCTGGCCTAAGGTTTTCCTATGTTGTAAATATGCCACCTCTTTTTCTCAGCTACTCTAGGGAACAGGGTGCTAGGCCGATGATGACACCTCTTGGGTTGAATGAGTAGATTGGGAATTTTGTGTTGCCTGGCATGGGGGTGGATTTTGAAGTAAATGTTGGCACTCTTTGGCAATTCTGAGCTGCAAGGAAATCGCAGGACTGGGATTTACGAGAAATGTGAGACCAGGAAAGCTCGTAGGCTTGGAGACCTTTGCCTGTCCGTGGTCTATCTGGGTCGTCTCCTGGGAGAAGGGGACCTGGAGTATGCAGCAGTCCTGTATGTGGGGAAAAGTCAAGACTGACCAGAAGGAGAACAGAGCCTCGCCTTGGGAGACCAGGGTTGGAGTCTTTTGTAACCGCCTCACCTACAGGTCAAGTTCAGGGTGATTTCAGAGTTGTGTGTTCTTCATCCTGATTCCTATTCTAGACACCAATGCCAAAAGTTCCAAAGGTGGAGCGATGCCAGGTAGACTTGGGACACAGTTACCCTTCCTAAAAAACGGGAGGCAGGTCGATACCTCAGGACTTGCGGCGTTGTTCTTAAAGTGTCCTGGGAAATAGTTCATGTCTTTTCTGTATAACTCACTTAAAACAGACCCATTCTGTCTGTGCCTCTCTTCCCACCTGTCCTGCTAAAGGCTTGCTTTTATTTTTGCCTCTGGCATTACGCAAGTAAATCCTGGTGCCTTCAGGAGATGTCGTCTGCTCTGTCGCAGTGTCTGAGTCCTGAGCCAGGAGCTCAGGCAGATGGGCGGCAGGTATCCTGGAAGGGCTGGAGCTTGGCCGCTTCTCAAGTGAAAATTGGATTCTCTCTTGATATGTCATTGTCGTTTGGGAGTTTGTGCCTCAAGATGAAACTTGAGCAGCTTGCCCTGTCCCTGGTCTGTCTTCTGTCTGTGTAACCAAAGCAGAGGGCTGCAGTGGTCAGTGTACTGCAGAGCAGGTGGGCGGAAAAGGGAAGCTCTGTTGTGTCTGTTGTAGCTTCTGTACCCATTTTACTGGGAGGAAATTTAAAGAGCGGTGTAGCCTAATACTGATGAGTCTGCCTGATTGATGGTATTTGGCAAAGTTGATCCCTTTCTACAGTTCAGCTTCTCCATCTAGAATATGGTGAATGCAGTCTTCACCTCTTAGACTCGTAGGCATGGTAAGTGGTCAGCACACATTATATAATACAAACGTAATAGTAATAATATGTTGATTGTGCTGTTGGTATCCCACCCCCTGAAAATTTCACCTACCCGAAGAATCCTTGAGAATTTTCAGGGGCACTCTGTACCAGCTTCTTGTACTCCGCCTGTGCCCTGAGTCCACCACCGAGGGCTCTTTCTGTGGTTGGCTGGATTGGCACTGGCTTTTGAACTCATTCTCTCTATGGGACATATGGAAAGCGGTTTCAACATTTCCCCGGCTGTTGTGTGTTAGTGAATTGTTTTTCCCCTCCTACCATCCGCAGGAGGGAGAGGTGGCTCCAATGCTGCTTCTGTCTATTGGTTGGGGGAAAGGGAGAACCGTGCTGTAACTGTGGGTCGTCAAGGGTTATGCTGGGGAGCGCTGTTTCCGCCTGCCTCGTGTCTCCTTTGACTGTGTATCTCACCTCACATGGCCTTTCTAGATGCCGGCCAGGGTCTAGGTTAGAGATGGCAAATTGTGGAGGATTCCTGTCTTTCATTTTCCTTTCAGGTAACACAGAGAGCACTGTCCAAGCTGAGAAGGGGTGATTCAGGGTCTCTCCAAGATCCCTTCCAGCTGCAGCTTTCGGGGATGATGTCTGGGTGGAACTGGGCTGGGAGAAGGGAAAGGAATTGGACACTGGCATATTGGGTCTTTGGCGTGGGGGACTTGCTCACACTGTGAACTAGATTGCTTTATCGTGGGGCGTGGGTACCTGTGTGGTGTACGGTGATGCTGGGGGGCTGTGGAATGTTAGGGAGTTGCCTCTGACTTCAACTTGAGAGTGTTTCTAAATGCACTAAAAGACTTTGGCATCCATCAAGGAAGATGGAAGTTTCTTCACTGCCAGTTATTTCCAGAGACCAGAGACTCTATTGCAATCTGTAAGGTTCTTTTTCCCACTGCTTGTAGAGACCTTCGATGGTGGAGAAGCGCTGTCTTTTCATCCTTTCTCTTGGTCCACCCCTCATTTTTTTCCCCCTCCCTCAGGATAGCTTGTGGACCTTTGGGGACTTCTTTGGCTTTCACAGGACCACCAGGTTTTCTTTTTTTAAAAATCAGGATTCGCTAAAGCCTCACTGTGATGGATGTGGGGAAGGGAGATATGGTGCTTGGAGACCCAAGAGAGTCACCTTTGTCTGCCGTAGCCCTAGAATGTCTCCCCCTTACCTGGTCTCATTCCAGTACTAGTGTTTGTGGAAAGGAATCGTATCTGCCTCTCTCTTGCCCTCTTTGTTCCTCAGGCTCCAAGTTGTCTTGCTTTGAGAAAAACTGAGACTGATAACGTGCCTTCTCCATTTTCTTCTTTTGCGACTCTTGGCAAAGCTCTCTCTGTAGGCACGGTGTCACACCCTGCTCTCCTTTCAGTTTGCTTTGCTTCCCTTTGTGACCGAGACTGCACAGGCTCTGGTTAAATGACTGACTTGACCCATCCCTTAACTGGGGTGGAGAAAGAAGGGCCCATATGTAGGTGTCTCCTCTCTCAACAGTCTCAACATTTAGGTTGAATCTTAAGATACAGAACACGTTGGAGACCAGTGACAAACAGCAAGGCCTTTGCGAGGCCCTGGGATTCGAACCCTTGGCCCTGTTGTAATCTTCTGCTCTCTTCTGTTTCCTTACGAGACTGAGGAAATCTGAGCCTAGGCTGTGGAGTGTCCTGCGGACAGACCTGCTGAAGACGTTGGTGTGTCGCAGCAGTTAGCTGTGAGGTTCTAGATGAATCTTGCAGGCGGAGGGAGTAGCTCTGGGAAGCTGGGTGCCGCAAAGCCCACACCTCACGGGCTGTGTCCCTTCCTGTCTCTGGAGACGGGAGGCAGATTGCTGGGACTGGATTGGCTCACCTCTGGCTTTAATCTGCTCTTCACTTTTTACTTAAAGGTCTTGATGGTGGTGAGTTCTAGGAACCGACTCTTCTCTGGCACTTGCTTGTCCCAGCCTAAGTGATGGGTGGTAGGCTGACATTAAAGTCTCTCTCTCCTTCCCTAGGGCCTTCTGATTGCTCCACAGGTTGGTTTCCACCTGAGATAGGCCTCCTGCCGCTGGAGCTTTCTGTCGGGTTTTCTCCCTTCCAGGAGCAAATAGGAAGGCAAGTGTCCAGGAATGATTGTGGACACCCCGGACTCCATCCCTGGGCTCCATCCTTCTATGGGCAGTCCTTTGGCTTTCTTCCAGCCCTCTTCAAAGGCTCCTTTCTGGGAGCTGACCTGTGCCTCTCTAATTGTTCCTTGCAGAATACTTCCACCTGCACCCGGGAACGCTGCTGTGCCTGAGAGGCTGGAGGCTCTGAGATACCAACGGATAAAGAAGCCCAAAAAGTCATCCAAGGGCTCTTCGAAGTCAAAGAAACGATCCGGTAAATGGTGGGAAGCGCCTCTCCTCTTTCCACCGTGCTTTTCCCGATTGATGAGGATTGTGGGCCCAGGATCCCAACCTTGGGTGTTCTCTAGAAGTGAAGCCAGCTTCTCTTGTTCTTGATTTCCTTTTAAACACCCGTTTTCAATAATGCACAAATGATATTCGTATAGAAACACAAGAAAGAGATCTGACTGCCTTCCCTTCCCAGTCCATCTCCTCCTACCTGGGGAGTCATTGCTCTGAGGGTGTGTGTACCCGTAGATCCTTGTCTGTAGTCACGGCTTTAGGAAGTATGTTACATTGTTTCAGTGTGTTTTTGAGGAACATAAGTAGTGTCCTGTTCTTTCCCAGTCTGAAGCACACTTCGCTGCTTCCCTGTCTCCTTGTTCCATGCTCTGTCACCATTTCAAGCCCTCTAGTTGAACACTGGGCAGGCGTGGTAGAGCTTAGAGTCACGTGGTACGGACCAGTCTCTACATTGACTAACCTTTTCTAAGGATAGAGAATGAATTCTCATTGTCTCCTAAAGGGCACTTCCGTTGCAATGCATCTGGCGCATTTCCAGCCGTGATGGGTAGCTTATGAAATGGTGCAAAAGGAATTGATCCTTCATTTAGAAAAGCAGTTGATGCTTACCAGATATTCTCTTGCTACCCATGTCTGTAGGAACGTTATGACGACCTGTCAAGGAAGAATATTCAGCAGTTTCTTTGCAGGTCTTGGCTGACTTCTGTAGAGTAACTGTCCCAATAAGGCAGGTGTGAAAAAGTGTCCCACAGAGGCCCAGCCCCTAAACTCATTGGTGACTTAGCCTTTGGATGTGACCAGTGTCCTGTCAGTTTGTTGATGGCAGTACAAAGGCAGAGAAAAAGAAAATTATCTTGTCGCCTTGAGATGGGGTCTAGCTAGATAGCTCAGGCTGGCCTGAAACAAGCTGTGCAACCTAGGCTGGCCCTGACTTTTGGTCCTCTTGTAACCTTTTGATGGGTAGGAGTAGAGGTATGTGCTGCCATGGTCAACAAAAATGAGTTTTCTGAGGCTTGGGTCAAATTCCAAGCAGAATTTAAAATAATTCAATTTAAACAGGTGCATAATACATACACATATATTCCTTTTGTGTGTTTATATCTTCGTCATTTAATGATAGGAACACATTCTGAGAAATGCACCCTTAGGTGATCTGGGTATTGTGTGAACATCATAGACTATGCTTATATTAACTAGGACAGTCCTCATGTATTACAGTCTATGAAACTGCCATTGAATATATGACCTTTCCTTAGTTCAGATATTGTTATATAATGCACGACTGTAAATTTCAATAACTAAATCTCATCTAATTATTGGAAAATGGTCCACGTCAGCTGCACCTGTCCTCTCCTATGCCTGGTCTGTGTTAATAGCTCTCGGGTGTCTGCCTTTAGCCCAGGTGTCTTCCCTGAGTTCAAATCTTATATTTCCAGCTGGCCATTGAACTCAGACTTGCGTGTCTTATAACTCTTAATGCTTTTTTGATTATCCTCTTCAAAACCACCGCTCCCCACTTCTCTTCGGCTACGTGAATGGTGTTGCTTCTTCATTCATGCTCAGCTTCTCCTCAAAGTCTTTTGCCCTCACACCTGATCCTTTGGTGAGGTATGTTGGCTCAACCTTTGCATTATACCTGGCCTTCTTTGGTTGTCCTTACTGAAAAAAATGGAAGCTTTAATCCCTTCCTCTCCCTTTTAGATTGGTGCTGTGTCTTGTTGCCTTTCTGCTCCGTCTACACTCATATCGTATCCCATAGAGGTGACACCCTTAACCGGACCTAGGGAGATAGCAATTACTCATCCGTCACTTAGCCTTTAGGTATGGCTGGTTTCCTATTATCAGTCTGTGTAACTTTCTTTTTCACTAAATGGGAATACTGAGGCAGTAAGAAAAAAAGTTGTCTTGTAATTGTTTTGAGACAAGATCTCACTGTATAGTTCAGGCTGGCCTGGAACTAGCCATGTCTAGGCTTGAACTTTCAATCCTCTTGCTTCTACCAGAGTGAGCTGTGGAGATTTTACAGCTCTTTTTTTTTCTTTTTAACACGTGTGTTTATATACATACATGCACAAACACACACAATCTCACGCAACAGTCGTCTAGAAGCCTTTCCTTGAATCAAGGACAAGTGTTAAGCTCTGTTGACACTGTCGTCTTTCTCTCTCTAGAACATTCTGTGTTTGCTCTTCTTCCTCCCCCTCTTCCTTCTCCTCCTCTTTCTTCTGGCAGTCTCACTATGTAGCCCAGCAGCCTCGAACTCCTGATCCTATTGTCTCTGTCTCCCAAGTATGGGGATTACAAGCTTGTGCCACCATGCTGGCTTACACCTGCTCCTGACTTTGGGTTTATGCGCTGGCTGTTCTTGTTGATGGTTGCCGTTTTCATTCAGCTCTGGGGAAGACTCCTCGCTCAAGACTCCAGGCAGGTAGTAGGAATACCTGGGGAGGCAGAAGCAGGATCCTAGCCGCTGGCCCTTTCCTGTTCCGTCTTTCTTTGTTACTGTACTTGGCAACACCTAAGAATCCAGTTTCTGTATCTTTCAAATGTTGGCCGTTTGTGTTTTCCTCCATACCTCCATGCTGGAGTATACTCTAGAAAACAAAACCTCCCCGCTGTGTCCTCCAAAGGGCCATGAGGCAGACCAATGGCCTTGGCAGTAGAAGGGAGCAGGCCTGACTGTTGTTCATGACTGAAGTCTCGTGTAATGTCTGTCATTGTCTGGGGTAGGTGAGAGACATATTGAAACCCTGCTTCCTGCCACCTGAAATGATAATTGGTATCCAAGAGGCACTGCACAGCTGATATGTGTAGACTGATTGCTGAAACAGCTCCATGAATTCACAGAAGGGGAAATACTTGCCTGACTTCATTGACTCAAGGCTGGGTTGCTGGTTGCTCGAGTGGGGGAGAGAGGAGGTTCTCGGCAGCAGTTTGGCCCCGGAGCCATGCACACAGGTGCTCCCTTGGTTTCAGTGGCACCTTGGACTTCATCCCTGGGAGATGTATGGAGCCGCAAGGCTCTGATCCGCCTTTTTTCACACCTCTTCTTCTCTTGTGTGTCTGTCTTCTCTGTAGACGGTTCTGCCTCCCAGGCTCAGCAGCTTCCCAACTCTCAGGTTCTGTCGCCCGACGAAGCTGTCTGCCTCCGAAAGAAGAAGAGACATTCTCGTCCTGATCCCTTTGCCCGACTGTCGGACTTATGCCACCGTCAGCTTCCGGAAGACCAGACGGCGATCCTCAACAGCGTGGATCATGATGACCCAGGCCACGCTACTCTGCTATGACTTGACGTCACTCTAAGTGTCCCCAGGGTGGGGTGCTAGGCCTAAGGGGCAGAGCGGGACCATTGTACAGGGCCTTGTCCTCCTCTGCCCATCATAGGATGGCGCAGGCCCTTGTCCGATGTGTGGTCCTCCCCTGCCCGTGGGTCTCTCTCTCCCACCATCTAGCTGGCTAGCCTTGCCCACAGGACAGAGGACTGGGGGAAGAGCTTTTATCTGTGGGTCAGATCTGGGAGTGTGTGAGGACAGGAAGCCTCTGTCTCAACACCATCTCTCCCACCTTACTCGATTCTTCTCACCTCTTCAAACGTCTTAGGAAGTGAGGAAGAGAAAAGCAATGGCTTTTTACTACTCTGTGTTTGTTTCAGTTTTCTAAGTCCTGGGAGGGGGTTAGAATTATTTCCTATCCTCCAAACTCCGCATATATATAGATATAGATACAAATACACTTGTGTGTAGTTGGTGGGTTTCTCTATGTGTATATATATGTACATTGAAGCAAAGTGCCGTCTCTCCCTGTGGTCGGTGAAGGACTGAACAGCTGGGCTTCGGGCGGCCTGTGGGCTGGTGGGTGCCCTCATGTCTGTCTTGGGAGATCATTCCGGCTGAAATAGGAGTCATGCCTCTCAGCTGAATTCACCATCTTTCTTTCCAGCTTCTTCCATCTAGAGCAGAAAAGGGACCTTGCTGTGATTCCTAGCTCCCTGCTTGGGGTCATAGCAACAAGTTACCCCTGAACTAATCCCAAGCCTTTACTGCCTGCTTGCTAGGTGAGGCAAGCATGGTCAGGCACAAGGCCAGATTGGCATCTTCCTTTCTGCTGCATTTTGGCACTCACCCGAGAAGTAGCGGTTGTTTACCAGTGGGGCTGACAGGCAGTCCTGGTGTACAATCCCTTGTTCATGTGGCCATGCCTCCATCTCTTCTGGTCCAGCCAGGACTAGGAACCCCGAAGCCAAAGGCCCTCCTGTTCTGCAGCCACCTGTGCTGAGCACCGAGCTACCGCAGCTCTATTTATACCCGTCTTGGCTCTGAACTCAGAGCACTGCTCCCCCGCGGCCGATTGGCTCCTCCTTTCCTTTTGTGTTTGCTAATTCTCCAGATTGATTAATTGCCATTTGTGGGAGCTGCCTGCGGCTCCTTGGCATACTCTCTGTGTGCTGCCTGCCAACTCTGCTTTGCCCTGGGGTCCTTCTCCACCCCCTGGACCCAATCTCCAGTGCATGAGATGAAAAAGTGAGGGGACTTCAGGTTGTTGAGCTCTGGGGTGCCCTTTCCTCACTGCTCCTGCGTGGAGCTGGCTGAGGCACCGGGATGATGGATGATGGTGGAAGTAGAAGTGGGTAGGCACCAGGGCCCTAATCCTTTCTCTGTACAAATCCAGTCCTGGTTCAAACTGTCAGCATCCCAACGTTTTCCTGATGCCATTTGTCAATTCAGATGCTTCTCTCTCTCCTTAAAAGGTTCTGATGTTGCTCAAGAGTAGACAAGGGGAAGAGTGGGCCCTCCCTCTCCTTCCCTCCTGCTTTGCCTAAAGTATAACTGTCAGCTTCCTGGAAGTATTCCTTCTTGGTGCTGCTGAATCCACCTCTCCCCAGAGACCTCCTCGGGCATTAGCCCTGTCTGCTGGAAGGCTTCTGCTGCTCCCACAGAAGCTGCCAGTCACTCAGCCTAGTGACTTTGATGAGGTCCCAGGGGCTGGGACACTGACCTTTTCTCGGCGCTTCCATCTTGGGGGATTGACTGCATCTCTGCAGCCAGGCCTTGGTGCTTCCTTCTTTCTCCCAGTGAACTAGGGATGGACCCTACGCTTGAGGCTTCACCACACAAGCCACACTACCGCAACTTTCTTCTGGATATAGGAGAAAGAGGTGCTGAGGGGCAGAGTTCCTTTTGCTCTGAGGTTAGGCCATGGACCTCAGACCGTCCACCTGATGTGATGCTCAGAGGTGTTGGGGGCCACGGGCCCTTTGGACCTCAACTCCGACAAAGTAGAAGAGTTGAGTTGGAAGACTCGCTCCTTTTTCAGCAAGGGGGCCACTGCTTCTGCCACTGTGCCACAATGGGCTTCTCCCTCAAGTGTCTCCTGGGGCGACTGGGAACCAATCTACCTGCAATGCTGGGGTAGCGTTTGGAGGCTCTCAGTGGCCTTGTCTGTGGTCTTTGCTTGCTCTCTCATACCATGTGACTCCCGAAGCCTGGAGTGTGAAAGTAGGTCATTGGTGCTGGGCGGTACTGAATTTAGCCAAGCATTCTGAGGACCCTCCTGGCAATTCTGGCCCTGGTACTGTCTGAGCCTTGAGGTGAGAATGGAGGAGAAGTTGAGGTGGAAGACTTTGCTTCTTTTGGATATTGTAGGGAACAAGAGCCAAACCTTGTGGGGTGAGATGCAAGTCCATGGCTAGGCTTGCAGGCTGGGCTTGCAGGCTGTGCTAACAAAGGTGCTGTCTTCTTCCTCTTCTTGCCTCTGATGGTGCCCCTTACCTCTGCCTAGCTGACCAAATGGTGGAAACTGCTGTTGACTGGCCACTGGATGGCAGCTGTGCTACTGTGTCCCCTGGGCTCCACAGGGGCACAAGGTCTATCCATTCCAAAGTGACCTCTGATTCATTCTCCTCCTAAGAGGTCTTCCTTCTTGTGACTTTTCTTGGAGGCCAGCAGCATTCCTGCACTTCAGGAAGCTGTTTTAGCCCTTCCTTGGTGACTGCAAGGCAAATTGGCAAAAAAACAGTCCCCATGGTCAATGCGATCAGGGTGTGATAGGCACACTCTCAAGTACTGGCTCTGGGTATGTGTTTGACAGTCTGGTTAGAAATATCTGAATTTGGGGGTATATCCATTTCTAGGGACCAATGACCTTTACACTCTGCCTTTGAACTTGGCAGTGACCACTATGAGCTTCCTAGGGCGTTCATCTTCCTTGCTGTGGGAGATCGTGTCTTCCCAATCCCCTCTTTGGGTCTGGTAGCCTTGCAGAAGTAACCAGTTCCAAACCTATTCCTGTACTCAGTATTTTTTCTATCTTTTCCTCCTGTACCTTGACTGGAAATGCTATCTCAGTGTTTAAGCCAAAATCCAGAAGGAGAGTAACCGGTTTCTCCAGAGAGACTGCAATTTGCGGGAAAGAAGATGAAAAGTAAGAAGTGAATCTTGCTTCTATTTGGTGGCTGACCACGTAAGGCTTTGCTTCAAGACTCTGAGTGGAATTCTGTGCATCTGTGGTCATTGGTGGCTGTTGGTCCAGCATCTGATGCTGGTTTTTGCCTAGCGGCCAGCCTGTCTTCTCCCGTTTTCTTAGACAGAAGAGCACAGGAGAGAGGTCTTCAGAAAGTCTCCCAGTGGAAAGGGTGCAGCGTCACATGGTACGAACAGACTCTGCACTCCATCTCCGCAGGCTTAGCTTATGTGTTTGGGGGAGACTTCGACAGGATTATAACAATTCCTTATTATATTTTCCCAGTGTGTTCTCTCTTGGTTTTTGCACAGTAATCTAAACTATTTTAGGTGGAACGGATCTTAGCTGTTCATCCTTCTGCCCTTTTTATAGAGAGAAAACTACGTAAAGTTGGGATGTGGGATTGCTTTCTTTCCTCCTCCTGGTGAGGCTGGCACACACCAGCTTCAGGGGAGGCGTCCCAGAGCATTAGGACAACTTAGTTGCTTCCTAGGATCTGTATTTGAGGCTGAGGCATGTGTAGCTTGAGCCGTTTCTTCTGATTTTGATAGCAAAATCCTTTAGAGGGTTTGGGGTGGGCTGGGAGAATTGTAGGTAAGTACATTTTACTAGTATGTAGAGAACTCTAGGAACTGAAAAGCTAATGGCTTGGACTTGCTTTGCTTGCATGTAAAAGTGCTTTGGGAGCACTGCAGGGACTTGGGGGTAGGAGGATAGAGTCAAGGGCAGAGATGGGGGTACAGGAGAGTCCCACTGATGCTTTCTCTGGGATCCTGAGCATTTTCACTAGTGCTCATTGACTTGGCCCTACCCTTTGTTCAGGCTCCAGAAGAGCCTTAGCAGCCATTCTGCATTGAAGACAGTAGTTGATGGGGCGGGTGTGATTCAGGAAGAGAAGTTAAAGGGATGGACCGGGGAGAGAAGGCTTGATCATGTTCAGGTATGCAAGACGGAGATGGATAGAGTATTAAACCAATTGTAGAGAGTACAGGAATCCTGGGATGATGAGGTTAACACCCAAATAAGGCACTAAGCCTCCAGTTCTCTTTCTGGCCACTCTGCCAGCCCGGATGATAGTGCAGATGGTTGAGGAGGATCATCACAAGGAAACGAGTGACTGCCAGGGAGGGCCATGAAGAGCAGGTTCCCCTGGTGTGGGAAGGAGTAGCCACTGAGAGCAGGTTGTGGGCGGGGCCTGATAAGCAGACACAGAGTGGATCTTGGAAGAAATCTTGCTTAAGGCAGGGCTTTCTGCTTGTAGAACTGACCTCTACGGCTGATTGCCGGATACAGACATCTTCAGGTTTTTCTCTTTGTGGAGTGAAATCTGGGAGACGGGCCTTCAAATGCTGTCAGTCCCTGCTTTCCAGTGGAGAGGGAAGGTTGTTCTCGGGAGCTTGGTGCTCATTCTCCTGACAGCAGGGACATGCTGTGCTTCTTCTTATTTGTGTCTGAAAATGCCCATCAGGCACTGGTGCTGATGGTGCCCAGGAGGCTGGGCCTCCAGACTTGTCAGTCTTTCTTGAGCTGTAGAGAGTGTCTTCATCCCAGAGGCTACACAATGGCCTGGTATCTAGAGGTTTTGTCTTCAATTTCTCTTCCTTTGATAGTTTAGATTTACCACAGTGTAGCTAAGGGAGGCAAATAATTTCATCTGAAATCAGAGACCATCTCTTCTGTACTCCTTACTGTATCCAGCTTCCTCTTGGATCAAGAGGCTAACTGAAAATCTCTTCAAGAGAAATCGATAAACCGAGAAGCAAAGCTCTGGTTGGACTCTATTAACTCTTACCAACTCATGCAACTGGGCATTGCGTGGGGTTGGCTTGTAACTCTTTCACCTTTTGATGGATGCTGAATCAGCATGGGTCCAGAACCTTCTATCTGGACCCCTGTCTATACTTCCAAATCAGCCTTTCAGGAACAGATACACTGTCTGCACCAGATGTTTGGTGTCGTAGATTGCCAAGAGGGTAGAATTTTTTTTTTCATGACCTCATTTAAAATAATAGTAACAAAAATCCCTAATCGATTGAGTCTGATTCAGAGACACTCCCCAATCATAGGGATTTCTGTGTAGACTGGAAAAAAATGTATTAGTGCAATTATTTTTTAGTGGCTGGCCGTGCCTTAGGAGGGAAGAGTTGGGATATCCTAACTGCTAAGTAGCGGGTTGCTCAGCAGCCAGTCATTGGACATTCTCTTCTGCAGTGGGCTGGTTGTTGGCTGCAGCGGTTAGAGATTCTGAAGAGCACTGGTGAACAGTGATCAGCTTTGGACCCCTGGTTAGGGAATTCAACCAAAGCAGTAGAAGAAGCTCAGCCTGCAGCTGGGGCCTTCACTGTACCTTTCCCACCCAACTTTCTCACCATGAATGACGGCACCTGTTGTTCTCCTGGGTACTGAAGAAATATATCCCAGCAATCCCATCTCCCACTAGCATGGGTTTCCTGGATCTGCTTTAGGAAGTAGAGCAAGCTCTTTCTCCACCCACATTCACATCCTTTGGGCTCTACTTCCTTCTTCTCCCCACTGTGTGTGGCTCCAGGACCTCTGGCTTCTGCATGGTCTACAATAGGGAGGTGGTTGGGCTGGGGAGAGAACTGGGGAGGGTGTAGGGGTTGGACTGGGGAAGGGAATTTACATTTTCAACCTTAAAATACTGTAAGCATGTTTTGGGGTGAACTGGGATTTTCACATAAACTGTGGCAAGGGAAAATGCCTGATGCTCCTCATAGGGGAGGTGGGGACTCAGGGGACATTTGGCTTCTTTTTGGCTTAGGAATCTATTTTATTTGGTGGAGGAGAATAAGCCTCCTCACAGTTACCCTGCGAACCTTGGAAGGGAAGCTCATTCTATCCCCAAGTAGTTTTATTGCCTACTAAGAACAATTAAACAGTCTGTCACAGGTTGACATTGCCCTGGCTGGGTCCGAGAAATGAAAGAAGGCACCTGTTTCTCTGCCCGTGTTAGGTTATCTGCCTGGTCACGACCCCCTGGCCAACTGTTTATTTCAGTGTTCAGAAGTAAGTGTGTTAGATGGGTGTGAGTATCTGGGATGTGTGGTGTCTGTGTGTGCAGTGTGTGTGTGTGTGTGTGTGTGTGTGTGTGTGTGTGTGTGTGTTGTATGGCTATGATTTTTATGTGAATTTGATGAGTGGGCATGAGGGAACTGTAGAGATACCGCTTTGCCTGGGTAGCATCAGGCCTAGTTATGGCTGACTCTTTTCTTTGCTAGACAAATTTCTGTTTGGGTAGGAGGGTCTTACTCATAATATACCATCCTGAGTGTATTTTTTATGGAGATTGTATATAAAATTATATAAATATATATAACTTGTTCTATTTTAAGGTGAAATGAGACTCATTGGGGGGGGAGGGCAAGAATCAGATGCAATAGTGGTCATTAACAGTGGGAGCTTCAGGTAAGTTGTCCACGTGGGGAGTGGGAGGAGTGGGTGGGAACGAGATGTAAGCCGGGCAGGAGTGGAGGCTTGTGCCCTCTGCAGACGTATATAAATGTAAAGAAAACTTATATAAAGCTATCTATCTAGCATATCTATATATCTATATATCTATATGAAGTCATAGTTTGCTTTATTTTTGTACTTGTGCTTAGAGACACTTTGAGCAGTGTCACCTCCCCCAGGTGGTCCGGGGTGCTAGCTCATGCCTTGATACCACCTATCAAGGTGGTATCTCCATCCTTCCTTAGACATACTGTCTGCTCGAAGATTCTTGAGCCTTTCTGATAGAAACGTGTAGATATGAAAAAAATTCAAGTCATTTTCAGGAAGAGCAAGAGAGCTGAAGGTGGTACGTCTCTTTCCGGTGTGTCTCCTGTTAGGAGGGTTCCCTAACTCGTCCAGTTCGATAGAGGTGCTCAGTATAGAAAGGATGACGGAGATCTAAGCGTGGAAGCATGACTCCATGCTCCTGCAGCTAAGGCTGGTACTTAGTTCCTAGCTCAGCATCTTGGACAGAGGGAGGTCAGGGTGTCTGGGTCTTACCGTCACGCCTGTCCTGGCTTGTAGCACCTGGGCCCAAGCAGTTCCTCTCTGGAAGGTGGCAGTGAGATTTTTGAGACTGACTGCGTGGGCTCAGTTTTGGAGAATATAACACCCTGGTAATTATTGCTGCAGATTCTTGGAACCAGTGTGAATGTGATATCTAGTATAAATATAGCGTCTGTGCGTTTTCATTTCTTTTTAATTGGAAAATGAGTTGTTGTCGGCAATGGGGAGTGTGGTCTAGTCCTGGAACACTGAGTGGAAGATCAGGGATGAGAGAATGTTGCTGGGCAGGACTTGAAGGATCAGTCCCTCTGTTCTCTTCCTCCTTCTTAGCCTGAGGCTTGGAAACTAAATAATGTGTTGGAAGGACGTGGTATGGGTGGAAGGAGTTCATTTGTGTCTGGACAGAAAGATGTGCACTCTGAGGAATACCTCTTTGAGAATTCGAGACCTCACCTATGCTGGAAGGGCCATGCGCCTTGCAGCCTAAGCGGGCATCTCTTGGTGCTAGCTCTTTCTTCTCACGTGCCAAGTGATCAGAGTGACAGGCTTGAGACCACTGCCGAAGCCAGGAGAGACTCAGAACTTAGTCTAGTCTTTCTGCTTCTCATTCAAGAAAAGGCGGGAAAATCCACTTCTTCCCAAGTAGAACATGATGCTAGCTAAGAGTGCCTCAACCATGGGAAGGACTTTTGGGGGTTTAGGGGTGATAGGCAGAGTAGGGAGGTATGGAGCCTTGAGTCTAACTCCTGACCCTTAGGGAGACCTTATGGTTCCTTCGATGTTCTGCTCAAAATACTCAAATTTTCTCAAGGATATTGGAGGATTATGGGCTCTGTCCATGTAGTATTGGGTGGACTCCAGCACTGGGGCTAACTGAAAGTGTGTCTTTTCCTACCTGCAGCCTCCTCAGGAGGCCAAAAGAGGATAAGGCTAGGTGTTTTTTGTAAACCTTCTGAGAGATTGGGCAAGAGGAAGAACAGCAAATTCTTTGTCCCTTCCTAGCTTGAGTCCCCTCCTCACTTACCAAAGAGGGGTTTCCATACTATTTTTTTTTTTTTTTGGTTCTTAGAGCCCACCTCTTCTCTTTGTATGCAGACGCTATCTCACTTCTGGTCATAAAAGAGACCAGCAGAATTAAGCATTTTAGCATCTTAGGGCTCATACTCCATGAAGCCCAGATTCGCTCTGACACTTTCCTCTTTCCACATTGAGCCAAAGGCTTGATTCTTAGACACCTCAGCAGCATCAAGACACGAGATCACCATCCTACTTCATGATGTCCAACTGGACCCTTCTATGGAAATGGGAAGATGGACGTGTCCCTTACCCTGAAGTTTTAGGACTTGGGCAAAGTATTACCTTTGCCCTTTCTTTGACCCAGACCTCAGTAAGATGGTATACGGTGAGCATTGGAAGAGAAAGGTCTGGTGACCCAACACCAGTCACCTAATCTGCAGAAGAGCCAGCTTTCTACAGGGGAACCCAGAACAAGGGTCAGTGTCTGATTATACATGGAAAAGATGGGTTGTCATCCTTGAATCTCTCAGTCAATGGGAGGGGTGCTCTGGTAAAGCTGCTGCCAGGACCCTGAACTCTTCTGTATACCTGTGATTCATCTTGGTCTCTAGGCCATGGGAAAGGCTGTTGGAACTGTGATGTTCTTCCCTATTGGTAGTAGGTTGAGAGAGTCCAAAGAGATTGAGTTTGGCTACCTCTGCTCTATGGAATGAATGTGGAACAGATCTGGAATTTGCTCTCCCAAGGGTTGCTGTAGCTCTGTCCTTTCTCCGCTGTCCTCAGCCAGGTGCCTGGGGGAAAGGAGGCCCATCCACAACTCCTCAGTTCTTGCCTGGACCTCACCTTGTGTAAGGTACTCATGCGGAATCATTTTGGGAAATATTAACACAAAAGCATGAGGTAGGTTGAGGGACAGGACACAGCACCCCTCCTGTGGGTGAAGGGTGGATTATGATGCTGAAGTAGGGTTTTTTGTCCTGTTGAGGAAGTGACTAGTGCCGCCTTCAAGGACTGGTAGGAGTTTCTCTGTAGAATGAATGATCTCGATGTTGGAATTTGAGGCTGAGGGGTCACAAAGGGAGCAGTGAACCAAGCTCTCTGTTCACGGAGTCCCGTATGCCACCGTCGGAAAGTCCTGAAGCTCCATTCAGATTTAATTTCTTAACTGCCATTTGTGGGGCTGGAGGATGAGGACAGGCATGGGACATGCTTTCCCAAGTTACCTGTCCTCATGGAGTCCCTGACTGGGCAGAGAGCATCCTGCTTTGGTCAGCAACTCTGGGGCCCCCTTTATTACCACCTTTTTCTCTTTCATGAGGAGGGACTACATCATCTTGGACATATTTCTTCCCTCACTCACCTAAAGGCAGTTTTTGTATGAATTCCTTTCCTCCTGTTACCCCCATCATCTGTAGACACAGAAATGGGGAGGCAAAGGATCCTGGAGCTCCCTGCCAGGGTCCCTCACAGACTGCGCACCTCTTGCACCTAGCAACCTCTGGGCTGTTAGTTTTAACATACCTGGACATGACTCTGAGTTTTGTCATGAGATCCCATGCTCTCATTTCAAACCTTTATTCTTCCTTTGGCTTTCTTTGGGGGCTCTCCCCATTCATGCCTGGTCTTCTTATGGAGACCATTCAGACCTCATTTCCATTTCTTGAATGTTAAGTATTACATCACTGCGCTAGGGTGCTTCATGGTGCTGTTCCTGACGAGGCCAGCTGGACGGAATCAGTCACCTTCGTCCCACTGGTTCCTTAGATCTTGCTGTATATTGTCTTTATTAGATGTTTTTTCCTAAGGGGGGCTGGGGTGGGAGGTTTAGGGGTAGTTTTTGTGTTTTCTCTCTCTCTCTCTCTCTCTCTCTCTCTCTCTCTCTCTCTTTCCTCTCTCTTCCTCCCTCCCCCTCTTGCTCCTTCTTCTTTCTGTATGTATGTATGGATTGGTTAAAGTCAGTTATCATAGGCAGCTGACTTTGGTTCCAAATTACAGTTAACCCACCCATTGTGCAGCTGCACACAGAACACCTCTGAGTGTGAATTTGGATGGCAACTAGAGGCATACTTTTTGAACTTCAGGTATGTAACTGAAAAGTAAATAAAAAACACTATTTTTTCAGTAAGCTTTTTTTTTCTTCTAAAAGATACCTTAAAATTCAAACTATATGAACATTGAATTGGTGCTGTACCAAAGCCTTATGACATATTCTACACTCTGTATAGTCTGTCTCTGGGGAGCCCCCCTGCTTTATCACTCTTCGAAAGCCTGGGAATGCTGGTGTGTGTCAAGCCTGGAGCTGGGTCCTGGAGACCTGTGGGCCAAGGGGACTCTTGGGGACAGAAAATGATGGTGGAAGTGGGGGGGGGTTCCCCATCTTCTACCCGAGCAGATACTGAAGGGAAACCAGGTGTTGGTGTGTGTGGCATGCATGTGCATGCATGTGTGTGTGCGTGCATGCATGTGTGCATGAGCTCACCAGTGCATAGTGCCAAAGTGAACGCACTACCTGGGGATGGAAAGAGAGACCCAGGTAGGACTGGGTGTGGTGTGGCCATGGGAGTGAGGGGCATGCTCCTTCCTGTTTCCCATTTCCCCTTCTAGGTTAGTAGTGGAGGTGTATCCAAAACAGCTACACTCTCAAACAGGTGCTTTCCCCTTCAAAAATCTCCAAACTAAGTATCTGTGAAGGGCCTGTCCAGGGGGCAGGCACCTCAGCTACCAAATCCTAACCGCCTAAGGCTGGGAGGAACATCTTTTCTCTCTAGCCCTTGCCTAGTTTCTTGGGGACAAAGGTTCCTCTAGGGATCTCTGCATCTCCTGTTCCTTGGCCTGGGTGGGCTTTTTAGCCCATTGAGAAGGCCTCACTGTGGGTGACCCATAGCTGTACCTGCTCCGTGGTCCCAATCGATAATGCCTGCCCTGGCTGCTGAGGACAGTGATCCCGTGGGCCTCAGATTTGTCAGTGTAAAAGCTGAGCACTCCTCCCCAGATTCATTTTGGGGGGAGATGCGCCGTCTGCCTTGGCCTGGGTTGCTCTTCCAGGCTTCACCTGCTGGCTCTGTCAGGCTTGCTGAAACTAACCAACTCATCACCGATAACACTGCATGCTCATTTCTGCAAACAAGCAACAGTACATAAGCAAACACAGGACAAGAGAGAGAAAGAAGGCATATCGAATAGCCAGATGTGTAGCCAGCGAAGGCACCCCTGGGGATGTTGCAAGCTAAGCTGATTAACAAAGCGTTTAGTATTTAATTGCTTCTCATGTAACATTACTCTGCTTCAGAAATGTTTTGTATTTTGATATAAATAAAAATTTGCTTAAAAAGTGTGTTTTCTAATTTTTTTTTAAATATCTAGAGTATTTGCTTATGGTATCTAGTTTTAATACTGGTCCCGGATCTCCCCCCATCAGCTCATTTTAACTTGCGGCTTAACACGATTCTAAACTGGTTGATCCTCATTTACTGGTTAGGTGTGTTTTGAGGGGTCGTTCTGTGTGAATCCCTGTAGTCTGCACCTGGGATCCACCAGGGGTAAAAACTGATAAGCTTCCTCGTCCTCTAGGTTGGGGAACTTATGTTGTCGTGGTGCACAGTCAGCAGTGATTGCAGTAACAACTTCATAGCATGTTATCAAGTGGTTAGTGACCAGAAAACATGGGGTAAATATGGGCAGGAAAAGTGGGGAAAGGTGCAACCCCAAGTGTAGAAGGGAAGAGTCCATTGTAGCCTAAAACGGTGCTCAGAGGCCTCACGAGGAAGATGATGTTTGCGCAAAAGCTAAAACCGAGTTTTGTCTCCACCAAAAGATCATTCACATCTTTTTACTTCTGCCTGGAGTCATATGTGCCAAAGGTCACTGTCTGGTTTGACTCCACCTTTGGATATCTACAGCCATAACCCGCTGCGTCTTAGCCCAATGTGGGAGTCTCATTGACAAGAGTCAAGGGCTCGGGGATCAACTTCCCTTCCATGTGAAGGAATCAGCAGGCTTACCAGTCTTAAGCTCAGCTCCAGGGTCATTTGGTGGGTATGGCTGCCACCACTGACACAGGTTCCTTCCCTGACCTCAGGCCTTGACATCTTTCTTCTCTGTTGTTAGGCAATGCCCCCTGTCTTGTCAACTCTACGCGCATATATATATATATATATATATATATATATATATATAGACAGAAACTTGCTCTGTATATAGCCTAGCTTGGTCTTGAACTCTCAATTTTTCTGCCTTGTAAAGTTTTTTTTTTTGGAACTTGGTAGAAGACAAATACCAAACATGGGCTTAAAAACTATGTGTATTCTTCTGGATGAAGAACCCAACCAATTATCTCAATCACCATTTCAACACTGACAAAATACCCAGGACAACCAAGTTAAAGTGAGAGAGGTCACTTTAACTCATGAGTTCAGCTTTTTCAGTTCATGGCTGGAGAAAGATTCCAGTAGTCTCTGAAACCCTAGCACCTAAAGAATCCCTTGTCTCCCAATGATATGCAGGCTGGGGACAAAACTGTTAGCTTGTAGGCCCACGCTATAAGCCTTAGCACCAACCAGCCAATGCCCACACATAGGTTCATCCACAAACTGAAAAGCTTCTGCTATAGTTTAAGAAGTTCACATGTAAGGGGTGAGTAGGATCTAATGTCCAGACAGCTGTCCTTGGCCTCATCAGTCTACTGCAATTCTTGTTCCTGCTTGGTTTCCTTGATTTCTGTCCCTTCCTTTTTGTTGGTAGGGATTGGGGAAAATGTTTTGATATTGTTATGTAGATTGGTTTTAATTTTTAAAAGCAGATACACCGTGATTTTCTGCCTCTTATTATAAGTGAACATAGCCAAGAGGGCCTTTTCTATGTCGAATAGTGTTTTTGAATTTTTTTAAGCCTTAAAAACTTGGTGTATCAATGTTTGCCTGCATGTTCTTATGTGTATCATATATATGCAGGAGCCTGAGGAGGTCAGAAGAGGGTGTCAGACACCTTGGAAATGGAGTTACAGGCAGTGGTGAGCTTCCATGTGAATTTGGGGGCCAAACTAGGGTTCTCTGCAAGAGCAGCAATCTTAATGGCTGAACCATCTCTCCTGATTCTTAACCTGTTCATTTTTTTAAAAGTTCCCCTAACTCTGTACTTTAAATATTTCAGATTTATTTCATTTTTGTGTTCACACTAACCTCACGTGCAAAGTAAAATGCATCTTCATCATCCCTGTCAGCCAGGGAAGGATCCATCAGTGGCTTCTCCCTTTTTCCTCGCTCCTTTCATCCATCCCTTTACCTCTTCCTCGCCTCTGTGTTTCACAGCAGCTTTGATGTTTGCATAGAAATGAGATCCTAGCACTGACTGTTTTTGCTTGGACGTCCTTCCACGGACACGACACAGTCCAAGGGCACCTGTGCCCCTCCCCCCTCAAACTTGGTCCCATAAGCTCCTAGGAACCCAACAGTATTGAGCAATGTGATACTTCTATTCGTGGGAATTCAGATTAATACACCGAGCTAAAGATAGGGCTAGGTGGAGCTCATGGGACAGTAAACTCACGGGCTATACAAACCAAGGCCATTTGCTCGGGAGGCCAGTGAAAAGATCACTAACACCATCCTAAGTTAAGAACGTGGCTTTTAAAAGAGGAAGCTATAATGGAGATAAATAAAGGTCAGACTATTGCACACATGCTGGCAAGGGAGGGTTGCCACACTTGTTGAGAGACTTGCCATCAGAGGTACAGGAAGGAGAATCAAGACAAACAAGCAAGCAAGCAAGCAAACAAACAGGTATTTATCTGCCAGTCTAGAACTAGAGGACCAGGGAGACAAGGAAAGTTGAAAGAGGAAGGAAATGAAGTCCTGAAGTCTGAAATAATTGCTAGACATCCAGGGGAGAGGCCACTGGTTATAAGCCTGGGATTCTAGTGAGGACCTAGAGGTGGTATTAAAATGGCTCAATGGTTGAGAGCACTGGCTGCTTTTCCATAGGACCCAGGTTCAGTTCCCAGCACCACATGGCAACCTACAACTGCCTGTAACTCCAGTTACCTGGAATCTGACACCTTCACACCAATGCACATAAAATAAAGTTAAAATAAATTACATTAAAAAAACCTAGGTAGAGAGGCAGGATATAGAAAGGCAGGGGAGTGTTAAAGTCCCGAGTGAAGGACATGAAAGTGACCACTGGTGTGGGCTGATCAGAGGAGGTAGTTGTTGTTGATAAGGGCAGTCTCAGCGGAAGAGTGGGGACAGCAATTCCAGCTGGAGTGGGTTGAGAAGAAAGTTGAGACACTAGTCCAGGGCTAGGCAGGCGGCGGATGAGAGAATTTGCTGATCAAGGCAGACATTTCTTGGGACACTGTTTTAGGGTTTAGGGACACAGTAGGTGTCGCAGCAGCCTGCCAGACTCATTTTCTTAGGTGGGTGTGCCAAGTCTCCAACTCCTTTGGATCCCGGTGGCTGGTGTCTCACAAGTTCCGTTGCTGACTTGTGTGTTTTATTGACACAAGCTTTCTTGGTTAAGAGGTCACAGACCTTGCCCCATTGTGACCTGCTATTAGTGGGTGGCTCACAGACAAAGGCCACAATCTGCCTTAGAGGAAGGCACCTCTATCATGATCTTCCGGAGCAGGCCAAGACTGGAATTTACCTGAAATGACATTGCTATTTGCTTCCCTATATCCTGTCTAGTTTTCCTTTGTCTGTTTAAGTTTTTTTTTTTCCCCCAAAGAGTGTTCCCACAACGCAGCGCATCCGCAACTGACTGCTTCAGCCTTTGTATATAAGGGACACATTCTAAAATAATCTGGCGCGAGGAGCCCAAGGGTGGAATTCTAAAGGCAG